CCAGGCTGTAGCTCAGTGTCATGGTTTTGTCGACTCACTGATACCAGGTTGTAGCCCAGTGTCATGGTTTTGTCGTCTCACTGATACCAGATTGTAACCCAGTGTCATGGTTTTTGTGTAAGTAACCTGCGTTCTCAAGAAGTAATCCAAACATGCTGGCAAGGCAACAATTCCCACAACACATGCCGTAAAGAGAGTGATTATTACATTCCGTAAAGACGGTAACTCATACATGTCTTAAATACAGTGATTCACACATGCCGCAAAGACAGTAATTTACACATACGGTAAAGACAGTAATTCATACATGAGTTAAAGATAGCAATTCAAAGTGTGGTCAAGATGGCAATTCCCACATGCAATAAACACAATATTTCCTGCATGAAGAAGGATGGAAAGAAGGAAGAAGAGGGGAGGAGAGAGGAGAAGAGAGAGGAGAAGGAGCAGGTAGAGGAGGAGGAGGAGGAGGAGAAGAAGAAGAAGAAGAAGAAGAAGAAGAAGAAGAAGAAGAAGAAGAAGAAGAAGAAGAAGAAGAAGAAGAAGAAGAAAGAAGAAGAGAAGAGAAGAAGAAGAAGAAGAAGAAGAAGAAGAAGAAATGGAAGAAGAAGAAGAAGAAGAAGTAGAAGAAGAAGAAGAAGAAGAAGAAGAAGAAGAAGAAGAAGAAGAAGAAGAAGAAGAAAGAAGAAGAAAGAAGAAGAAAGAAGAAAAAGATAAAAGAAGAAGAAATGAAGAAAAGTAAGGAGGAGAAGAAGAAGAAGAAGAAGAAGGAAGAGAAGGAGGAGGAGGAGAAAAAAAGACGAAGAAAAAAGAAGGAGGAGAAAAAGAATGAGAAGAAGAAGAAGAGGAAAGAAGAAAAAGAAGAAGGAGAATAATAATAATAAGAAGAAGAAGAAGAAGAAGAAGAAGAAGAAGAAGAAGAAGAAGAAGAAGAAGAAGAAGAAGAAGAAGAAGAAGAAGAAGAAGAAGAAAGAAGCAAAAGAAGAAAAAGAAGAAGAAAAGAAGAAAAAAGAGTGTGCCCGAAAGAAGAAGAAGAAGAAGAAGAAGAAGAAGAAGAAGAAGAAGAAGAAGAAGAAGAAAAAGATGAATAAGATGAAGAAGAAATAGAAGAAAAAGTCACAGGTGTGCCAGATCGACTGAACTTACAATTGATATAGGAAAATACTCTGGGAAGTAGAGGCGGCCGGTATTGTTATCGACCACTTCAAATACTGAGGACCGTCCAAGCACTCAAGATGTTTCTACAGAAACCGATGAGAGTCAAGAGGTCTCGACCCAGACGGAGGATAGTCCTCAGCCCGAGCCAGCCCCAGAGGAAATGAATGCCTAGGAAGAAGACAGGCTAGACCCTGCTGTCCTCAGACAGCTATGGCAAGCACAAGTAATCGAGGCCGCACATGAAGCCAGGCCCAAGGTCTTCAGCTTCTTCTTCTCTAGCCCACCACCTTTACAGTTGTTGAGCGCGATGGCTCATTTCAAGCATTTGAGACATCCATCACTTGACTTACCTGAGTCCGAGACAAGCCTTGAGGTGGAGACACCGACAAGAAGGCGCAAGCTTTTTTTACGCTGGCTGTCTAGAAGGACAAGTAAGTCAAGTGAAAGACCAGCAGTTCAAAGGAGGGGCAAAGGCAATTTCTTTCGAAGAATTTTTTGCCTTTCAGCGTAGCATTTCTTCAAAGGCCCTTTTCAGGGCCACCACAAAATTTAACCTTTATTAGGATTTTGTCTATTATTAAAATACCAGTAACAATAGTATAGATTAAAAGGAAGAGTGGGAACAGGTGATAGGGAAGTAGTTGGAGAGACAGAGAGCGAAAGAGAGAAAGGGAAATGGCAGAGATTGGGTTGAGAGAAAGAGAGAGTGAATGAGAAAGACGGAGAGGTGAGTGCAGATGGAGTGAGAGAATGACATAGAAAAATAGTTAGAAAGACGGGTGGCTTATAGAAAGACAGACAGAATGTAATAGAAGAGAACAAGAGTAAAAGACAGATGGAATCGAAAGATGGAGAGAGTGAATTAGAGACCAAGAGGTGACTAGAGAGGGAGCGAGATGAAAGAATGATAACATAACCCTTGATCCGATAGGGTCACTGCCAAGAGAGATCTACAGATGTAACCTGTGACGAATGAGATGTTCAGTATATGGAAGTAAGGTTAAACAGACATTAGCATGACGTGATGATTCCTGGAGTGAGCCCAGTACCAGAGCACCATGTATTAGCTCTGCATTTATGGAAGCCTTTTTGACTGGTGGAGAATGCTCATCTTCTGTCTCTGCCTTCTCTTGATGGCTGATCAGCATTACGTGGCCTCTCTGAACCGGCCTGGTGTGGGGCACCATCAGTGACCCCAGAAACAAAGACGACCACCCACACAATAATCAGATTGCAATGCCCCACGAAACTACTGGAAAGGCTAACCCGGCCACCAGATGCCCGCAGAAGTCGGATGTGTTGGCCGAAAGGCGCAAATATCGCAGGTATGCTGTAAACGGACACACTGCAATTACATCTTGAGATGAACGAAGACGAAGAAGAAGAAGAAGTAGAACAAGATATGTCTCAGTTAAAACTCAAAAGGGAAACCTCTGGAGAACTGAGCTTCGACTGTTACGTCTTTGTCTCTTTCTGTTTCTTCTTCGCAATCACTCTGGTTGTTTACCCAATTCTGGAATGTTGTCTTGTTCCAGAACTCGAGTTTTGCTTGCAAATTCATTTTACAAATCTAGCTTATCGATATGTAGACTATTGGTTCCTCGTCTTTCTAGCAGATGCAAAGAGGGTTCGAAAGAAACATCACACAAATGTAGCCGTATAAAAATGATTGTTAGGGGCAGTGAGTTTATTCCACCCTTTTGAGGTTCTGAAACACACATAGCACCTTTTTAGCCCAATACAGTATTATTCAGGTCTTTGGGGAGATAGCTAGGACATTTATATCAGATGCAGACTCGGTATTAAAGTTCTATCTCCACAGGGCCTGTGTTGCAGAGCTCTTTCCTTCTTAAAGTTCCGAAACCAGCAGGGAGTGTACTGCTGGTGTCGGAGCTTAATTCACACAGAGGTACAAGATCAACTTATAGACCTATCCGATGTGCAATGAGGATAATTTTTCAACTAGCTATTAACTAATAGAGGCACATCAGGAAGTGATCAGGCGATTATCCACCACACCACATACTCAAATGATCCACCACACCACATACTCAAATAATCACGTCCTCCAAGTCTGTCACAAACACAATATATGAAGACAAAACTTCTGGTTAAAAGAAACACATGTGGAAGCCACACTTGACAGGCTCACTGAGTGATTTACAAAAGACCGTGAAGTACATACCAGAGACAACAATGCAGAAATTGATTATCTTTTTTTTCCCCAAAGAAGTAGAAACAATATACGAACTGCAACCCAGTATCCAAGCGGATGATATAACGGGGTACAAAAATACTATAAACAATGTGAGACAATGAGATTTCAATCTATGATCATACTACACACACACGACAGCGTCTTAGCTCGTAACTGTTTGGTGCCCCAATATAAGTGTGTTATAGGGATGAACAAGGTTTTGGGGGTTTGTTTTGGTTCGCATACGGATAGTGAAATTATGAATCAATGGTGTCAAAATTACGGGCAAAGAATTTTGGAGGGAATAATTCCTTTAAAAAAAAAGGAAATATTGCAACTTCGTACATGAAATCTGATATACATGTCTTATTTAAGTCGATAATGATAATAATGCACCCAGTGACGAATAAATATATGACATAATTTGAAACGTATTAACAATACTTAAAGAGAGCATTTCTATATATAGTTAAGGACATCTTGGTGTATGTACATGGTGCTCTGGGAGGTCCAAGTCCAAGTCCTTTTGATTAAAAAAAAGAAAAGCTGGATCACGTTCAGACTGCTGCTAGCTAGCCGGTGCTCTGGGATTCTCATTCTGCTGGATATAGTGTAAGCCAGGCGGCACGGCTCTCGCTCATTTTTGCTTTCCGCTTCCTTCGCGCATTCTCTTGGGGCAACATTTAACATTTCCTTTTTCCGGTTTACGAGTTGAGAAGAGGTTGGTGGAATAACCGTGGTTAATATTTCGCACAATCTGTGTTTAATCTTCTATAATATATTAAGCGTAACTGTGTACTTATTTTTAAAAAAGTAGTATTATGTGAATATAATTTACTGCTTACTTTTTAATCTGTACTGTTTAAGGTGAAAACAAATAATAGTTTGAACGGTTGCCTGTTAAATAACTGAATGTTGTTTTTTCGTTAGAAGCGAGGCAGTAGTTAGTAATCTTTTTTGATGATGTTATTCCCTAGCCATGGCTCCCAAAAGAAACAACATTATTCCAAATGGCCATTTCCACAAGGATTGGCAGCGCATGGTCAAAACATGGTTTAACCAGCCCATGAGAAAGAAGCGGAGACACGCAGCTCGTGCCAAGAAAGCTGCAGCGATCGCACCACGACCAGTTGCCGGTCTCCTCAGGCCCATTGTCAGATGTCCTACCTTTAAGTACAACACTAAGATCAGGCTTGGACGTGGATTCACCCTGGATGAGTTGAAGGTATGTCATTGCTTATTTATCTCTCAGTATCTTTCTTTGTGGGGGTCTAATCTAGACCCTCTACCTGCGTGTCATGCGATTCTATCATTTGCCATTATGTATCTGGCATCTCTATTGTATCCATGTCTTCACCCTTTTTCTTCTTCATACAGTTAACAATTATTTCCAGGAAAAAATCAGAGAAAACAGACTTTGTGAGAATATGTTAAGATATTTAATGCTTAAACTCGAGTATTCTTAACCAATTCGGTAGCAGTTGGTGTATCCTGCCTTCTTTGATTAGCCAGTTAACATAGCTAGTTAACATTCTGCCTGCCCAGGGCAGTGTATTCCTATAAATATTTAGGAGAAAAAAGCAACACTAATCAGCTGTGACACGAAAGAAAATAGATATTATGGCAGCCAAGCAAATAGCGTAACAGGGCCTCAGTCATTTGTTTTGTAAAATGCGGACGTTCTACCAAGGAACAAATCGCAGTAAAACTGGCTCCAAATAACAAAACAAACAGTATGTTAATCGCGGACCTTTTTCTGCGACTGACGCACCGCCAGCAGTATCCCCTGCGCTGCTATGTGCGGCGCAGATTGGGGGGCTAAAGTAGATGGCTGGGACTCACAAGTAGCATCTCCTGCAACTTTCTCTAATTTATTCGCTCGTGAGTCCTAGGCATCTAGTTTACATCCTCATCTGCGTAGCAGCGCGGGGATACTGTCGGCAATGAGTTTTAACTGCGTTTTTCGCATGCCGAAAGTGCGAGGGCAACCACGACACTAATCTGCGTCTAAGTGCGTTCTCCCCGCCACGTTAATTTATTGTCTGTAATGTTGCGTGTCTGTGGAAATTGTCAATGGTCACTATTGTCGTCTGGTACTATCATCTGCAGCGTTGTCTTGAAATTAAGTAATCATAGTTTTGCCGCGATTTGTTCCTTGGCAGACAGTCCACATTTTTTACATGACTGAGGCACTGTTAGGCTATTTGCACGGCCGCTATATCGGGTAGAAGTTCAGAGGGGAGCCGAAATTTTTTATAGCATTTCTCTAGCATGTTTCCTCCATCAATAAATTTTCAGATTCTGAATTTTTTTTTAAAATCAATAATGATTTTATGGTTATCCTTTGAATAATGGCCACAGAAACACTAACAGGACCTCAGTCCAATGTAAATTGCGTACTTCCAAGCGACAACCGCCATTGCTGGGTCTCACGGGCAGCAGCTTTAGCATCTCCTTCAGTGCTTGTGAATCCCAGCCATCTAGCTTAGCTCCAATCCACGCAGCATGTAGCAGCATACTCTCTGCGGTGGCTGCAGTCACCGGAAGTGCACAATTTAAGTCGATGAAAGTCCAGAATTTACATGTGACCGGGCCCTGTTTTTGGTCGCCATGATATGTGGCGATATGGATAGCTGATTTTTTTCCTAGTAGTATTTTTAACCTTGAACGTGAAAATGTAGACTAGATTAAATAAAAAATAGTAGTTTACTGATCTTGTTATATTGTAAAGTAAAATAGTCATCGGCTATGCTCCGAATCCCATGTGTAGGTTCTGGGGCTCCATTGTGGGGAAAACAAGAATAGGCCCACTGCTTCCCTAAAAGCGTGACAGAAGAGTCGACTAATTTCCTTTAAAGTCGGAGTGCATCTGCCTGAGAGGCAAGGAACCACCAGTCTGTATTCAAGAGAATGAGATCTGTAAAACTGATGCACACGCAAGTCAGGTTCTGGAGCAGGACTGCAGTTCAGTAGTGGACGAGCAACCAGAACTTTCCGCCAGAGTTTACAGCTGGTGAACATGAAGAAGATGCTCCTCCGAATGTCTCAAATTACCCAGGCCGAAAATATACCCTTACCGGGTCCCAGTCACCTGTCATTTGCGGACATCGGCGACATTGTGTACCTTCGCAGCTGCCGAGAGTATTTCCCAATGCCGCGTGAGCGGAGTGGATTGAGGCTAAACTAAATGGCTGGGACTGACAAGCAGCAGCTACCGAAGCTCCTGCAGCTTCCTTTATTTTATTTGCCCTTGAGTCCCAGCCATCTAATTACGCCCCTATCCACACCGCATGAGCGTGGGGATACTTTCTGTGGTGGCGGTATAGTCCCCGGAAGATCGCAATTGACACGTGGCCGAATCCCTGTTGGGGTATATTTTCGGCCTGGATAATTTAGGACTGTTATTCGGGGGATATTCTAGTCATCTAAAAGTAGCATTGTGTTTAATTTCTTTTCCTTTCGGACAAAGGGCCTGAGCTGCAAGACTATAAAGTGCCTAAAATCAGCAAAGGAAACATAATTTGCCCAGGTTATTTTCCAGGCCAGCCTAAATACCCTGTCACGAATTTGCGTTTGCTCTGTATACATTATCAGTTTAAACTTTTTTTGCTGGACTGCATGTTCAATTTTGATAGTTGACCAAATATGAAAAACTTAACACACTAGTCTATTTTCTGTTGTAAATTGACAACTCTTAACATTCCAGGCTGCAGGTGTCAACAAAAAAGTAGCACGCACTATTGGCATCTCCGTGGATTACCGCAGACGAAGCATGTCTATTGAGTCCCTCCAGCAGAACGTACAGCGACTGAAGGAGTACAAGACCAAGCTAATTATCTTCCCACGCAAGGAGGGCAAGCCTGGCAAGGGAGATGCTTCAGTAAGTCTTGTCTCTTTATATACATCTTGTCCCTGAAATGTGCTTGTATGGGAGAACTGTTTTATTAATAGGTTTTTTTTTCTATTATTTTCAGAGGCAGTTTCATAATTCATTATTTACTAACACATGTATTTTAGTAAGACCGGTTAAAACATCAAGACTTTTTTTTACTAGGTCACGGCTATAACTGGTAGTTTGTGGACCAAATTAAACCTAACAAGTGGCCTGCCAGTTGTGTTCTTGATTTTTCTATTCTAGGTTTTAGGTCCATGACGGTCGCCATTCCAATATATATTTGCCCCACCCCGGGTAAACTTGGGTTGAGTGGCCCTGTACTGTGTGGACCTATGAACATCGGTTACAAATTATGTATAACACTAGCTCTGTCATATGATTTTAAAACTTGAGACTAGATGTAATGTTAATAAAGGGGAGTACATAAGGATACTTTTATCTTATTAAATGCTATGTCTGAGGTGACAAGAAAATCGCCGAGTTTATTTTGAAGCCATGTGTTTAGTCTTCATGTGAGCAGGGGAAATGATTTTTCTTTGGTTTAGACTTTTTTTTAGAGGCACTACCGGCGTCAGTTTATTAACACTTTTTGCGGCTAGTGCCGACTTTTTTTTAGTGCCAGAAAAGAAAGCTCTGCCTTAATTCTACAGTTGTCTAAGTATATCTATAACTGCAGCCAGACTCCATATTGGTTTTGTCAGAAAGTCAAATGTCCATATTCTGTTGTCTTTCCGGGTGACTGCTTAACATTTTTCAGGTAATTTCGCCTACACATCAAACTAGTATGGATCCACTAGCTAGTCTTATCAAGTGTAATCTTGTATGGATCCACTAGCTAAAGTCTTAGGAAGTGTAAATACACGTCACATTGTTTGACTATTGTTATATCTGTTTCTGACAGGCTGAAGAATTGAAGGTGGCCAAACAGCTGGCTGGTCCTGCAGTGCTGCCACTAGAGATCCGGTTCAAACCTGAGAAGGCACGTGTACCTACGGAGGATGAGCGCAACCACAACGCTTTTGTTGCCCTGCGACAGGCACGTATCAACGCCAAGCTGGTTGGATTAAGAGAAAAGAAGAAAAAGGAAGGGGAGGAGAAGGACAAGTAATTTCCCGTTTACAGTTGATCAGAAATAAATTTTTGTCCCTAATATTTGTGTCATATTTTGTTGTTTGCGACTAGTTGTCCTGCAGGCGTTGAGATGTCACTGTAGGAGGGATAGCCTTATCACAGACAACTTACTAGACACCAAATGACACATTAACTCGTTCTGGATAACTACATGCAATGTTTATCTGCTAGATACCCGACGACTGCAGGTTCCAGCCTATATTTTTCTTATGCCCTCTGATGTTTTTAGACTAAACTATGTAACATCTTGTTTCACCATTCTGTTCAGGTTATCTAAGAGTTTTGGGGGTGTATGTGAAAAATCTGATGGCAGGTATCATTTGGTCCTTTCAATGCAAATATATGATCGCAACCTTTACTCTCAAACATTTCTGAGGCTGGAACAAATAATCCTATTGGCTGCAAGCCCAGGACACTGGGTGGATGTGGTGTTAAAAAACAGTATTTCTTGTAATGTGGAAAATTTTAATTCCCAGTCAAGACAATAGAATATATAAAGTTATCTGTTCACATTAGCCAGGGTTCGTAGTGGACCGGGAAATTACCGGGATTTTTTTCATTGACCCTGAACCGTGATTTTTAGCTTATAAAAGACATTCCGACCTTAAAAAGCCGTGAATTTTGACTGTGGCAATGAAATCGTCAGAAATCCTGTGTTTTTCAGCACAGGCAATTTTGGGGGAGCCATTTGGCTAGTTTTTGGCTACTTTTGTTGTATGGTCGTTTCAGGTGTGAGGGCAGCTGATTATTGGCTATTTTCAGCCGAAATGGCTTGTTAAAGGCCAGGGAAGTGCGGGCTGTGTTGCAGATCATGAATACATGCAGACAGCAGTGGTGTGGCATGGGGCGGGAAGTAGCAGCTTCTGTCTTGCGTGTGTGTGTGCCTTTGTTTCTAGCAAGTTGGGCAGAATGAACAGTATAAATCGTTTATGGCCGTGGTTTCTAGAAAGGATTACATTGGGAGATGGTGGGGCTCGGTCCAGTTGTATTTATAGAGTCGCCGTGGTGGGGGCTAAGCAAGGCCTTCTCTATTAATTAGAGATGGCATTGGGGCTAAACAAAGTAACTGCAGCTGGATTTCCCAGTTCTATTTTTGGCCTGGATTTATCTTTACAGTGTGTTTGGCGATCAGTATTGTAATTCCCCGAGATTCCCTCTTCTGTTGTCTCACCCCTCTCTCTCTCTTCCCTCCCTCTTTCACTCTTCTACCTATTGCTCCTTCCTTCCTGTCTCCTGCATTGTCTCTAACCCTCCCTTCTGATCTTCATCTTCTCTTTCTGTTTAAATGTTTAGTAAATGTGCAGCTCCATAACTCTTCCTAGCAACTCAAGTACACAGGAAGTTGTATTGTGGGGGGGGGGGGGGGGGGCATTCTGTGTGAACATGGTGGATATTTTCTTTTGATGTGTTTGTTTTCCTAGGGGCCTTAATCTCTGTCTATCTCCCTTCCCGCCCCCTCACATTTTGTCCTACCTGTTCCTCACTCTCTGCCTGTCTGTGTCACTGCTTTCCTCTCTCTTTCTCTTTGTATTTGCCACTCTCCCTCACTCACTCCCTCCCTCTCTCTCTCTCTTTCTTTCTCCATACCTTCAGTTGGTGTAGAAGGTTATGTGTTGCCTAGTGCAGAACATTTCATGTCCACCATTCCCCCCTCCCACACATTAAATATATGTGTACTTTTAAAAACACATTTGCCGTCACCCCCCCCCCCCTTTTTTTTTTCTCCTCCCACATTGATGACACCCAGGGGAGGGAGTGCACCCCTTCCTGCTACCTTCTTCCCTCTATATCTCATCTTATTTCTTACTCCCTTCTTTCTCTCCCTGTCTCATTCCCACTTTATTTTCTTAAACTTTATTCTCTCACCTCCTCTGTCTCACCCTTACCACCTCAGCCTTCTACACCACTTTCCACCACCTCCGCTCTCCCCTTCTTTTTGTAATTGGAAAACCAGAAATAAAACGAAGTCCACTGCTGCCCTGACCTATTTATGTGTCTGACCTATTTATGTGTGTGGGTAAACTTCTCTATTTTCCATCAGTGGTGGGTTGGGATCCCCTGGGCTTTTTTTTTCTTCTTCATAAAATGACCTTGGCTCTCAGGTCACCAGCCTTAAGTGTAAGAAATTGAATTATTGTTGTCGCACACAGATATGACAAGCAAGGGGCAGTAGGGGTTAGCACTGTTGTTTTTGGACCACGGCCACATTCACATTGGGAGAGGGTAGGGACTGGAAAAGTGGCCTCACTTAGAGATTTCCTAATTCTATTTTTGGCACTCATTGTTCTTACCCCCCCCCCCCCCCACAACCGTGTCTTACCTTACCTTTCTTCTCTCACCTGTTCTCTTTCCTTTGATCTTCTACTATTCTCCTTTCTCTCTCCATTCTTCCTCTCTTCCTTTCCTTCCCCTTTATCCTGTCCCATCTCTTCTTTGTCTCCTCTCCATCCTGTCTTTTCATTTTCTCAAGATTTCCTTACCCGCTCCCCTCTCTCATTCTCTCTCCCCCCCCCCCCCCATTTTTTTACTGGTTCATCTACATATTTTTTTGCCCCATAACTATCTTTTCCTAGTGGTTGTGTCCACTACACTTGAAAATGTGTGTGGGGGGGGGGGGGGGGGGGGAGTAGGTGGCTGTTTTTTCTTTTTTTGATGTATCTTGTCTCCCTTCCTGCCCCTCTCTCTTAATCTGTGTTTGTCACTGCCTTCCTTACCCACCTCTCTCTCTCTTGCTTTATGTCTGTTTGCCTCTTTTCATCACTTCCTCTTTGTATACCTCCCTCCCATTCTCCTGCTCTGCCTTTTTTCTCTTTCTTTGGTTCTCTCCCTCAGTCTGCTTGCCTCTCTGTGCTGTCCCTTTGTCTCTCTCTCCTTTATGTCTACATCTCTCTCTGCTTGCATCTGCTTCTCACCCTGTCCGTTCTCTCTCCCTCTGTCTCCCTTCTTTCAACTCTTTGTCATATTTTCCTCCTTCCATATCTCTGTTTCGTTCCCTTTTTCCTTCTCTTTTCATCTGCCCATCTCTGTATCTGCATTCCCTCTTTCTGTATTTGTCTCCCTCTCTGTCTTTAGCTGTCCCTTCCCCACTTTTCCTCTTCATGTCTCCATCCCTCCCTCTCATTTTTTCCTCCTTCCCCAGACTTCTTTTCCTTCTTTTCTCTACCTTCATCTGTCCATCTTTACACTGTCTCTCCCAGCCTACCTCAGCATGTGTCTTCCTCTCTCTTCATGACTCTCTCTCTCTCCCCTAACCCTCTCAGGTACCAGGTCCAGAACAGACAGGACTTCAGTTTGCTGCCCTCTACCACCAAGCCCTAAAAAAAAATTTCAAACACTATATCAAGCTCAGGGGCCGACTAACACGAAGATGGGCACAGGATATAAGTGACTCCTTGAGTAGAAAAAAGTACATGAGACGGGAGAGCTGGTGAGAGACCGAGGTTTTTTTGTCAGGACAAAGGAAATGCTACATGATGATGATATCTGTGCTGGTATACCAACACATGTGGCACAAATGAAGTACCTTGTGTGCTCAGTACACCCTTGAACAAGACAAAAATCTTGTTTCAGTATTACACCGAGACAACCTTGAAAAAAACTAAGGAGACCTTGAAAAGCCTTGAAATTGATTGGTATATTTGGCTATGAACCCTGATTAGCACTTTCTAGAGGTGAGTGGTATGGTTATGCGGTTTTCTACATCCAGTTTGAAGCTTTTTTTCCCAACTTACTGTCCCAAGCATTTGTAACTTTAACTCCTAACTCAAATTTGAGCTTAAAAGTTATAGGCCGGCATAAGCTTAACAGCCACTATGTGGGAGAAGCAATTAAGTTGAAATTTCAGTCAACACATGTGTACAAGGAGAGTATAGAATATGGTGGGCTGTTCAGTTATGAAAGACCCCCTGCCTGCAGTCAATTATATTTCAAGCTAATCAGTCTCATAGACAATGGGTTGGATACTTAGCACCATGAGTGCATGGGCAAACAGTATAGGCTGACACATTCGCTGGAAAAGCATATATATTAAAAGCTCGCTAACAAATTCCAAGGTGTTTACTAAGGTCTCTAATTACATCCTTCTGGGCTCATTCTAAGTGTTAACAATCTTTTACTGGATAAGCACAGGGCCAGTTGCTTTGGCCAGAACCTGCCTTTACACCACTGTATGAAAACAGCATATTTTCTATTTAATAAAATAGAACAAGATGACCTCACACACACACACACAAAACTAGTTTTAGTGAAGATCATAAGACTAGCTACAAATGTTAAGAAGTTACAAAACTAATGTTTAACACAATAGCAGATAAATGTGTACACGTAACGCACACAACCCTTAGTAGATTGCTATAACTACCTGTGGTTGACTCAAGATCCACTACTAAGACTGCCTTGTAAGATAGGTTACCTGCCTAACAAATCACCAATAAACACCTTATTCTTGGCTGATCCCTAATATAAAAAAAAAAAAATATGCATTTGCAACATTTCCTCTTGCAAGCTTCCCTACCAGCAAGTATCCACCATGTGGCTGAAGCTCCTACTGTGTCAGCATGTTATAAAACTGAAGGCTGGTAAAGAACTTGTTAACCCATTCAATTAGCCCTACATGGTCTGGATCATTGAGGAAAACCAGATGCGATGCCTGTAAAGCTTACAACTAGGTTTGAATTGTGAACAACATGCTCAAAGAAAGATTAGGTTAGGAATCTGGGATCACCTTTGGCAGGAAATTAGGGGGTGAAAGCTGTTTCTTGTCCTTATGCCAGCTATGGTGGAAAAGGTATTCTGGTTTTTAAATAACCCAACAGTAAGATGGTAGCTGTGGGCGGTGCGAAAAAGTTCTAAAGTGAAACTGTGCCGCTATCACCCAGTCTGCAGAACAGGGATTTGCTTTGTGTGAAGTTCCTTAAGGTAAAATGTAGAGTGGAAGGAAAAATAAAACATGTGGACCACAAAAGAAGAAATACATCATAAATGTGACATTTAAAAAAACCTGCCATTATTGTATTTCACACCTGCTGTGTAGGGCGAGGGTGATTTAAGACAAAAAAAACCAGCCTTACTGAGGATTTGATCCTAGGTCTCTTTGCACTGGAGCCCATAGAAAGGCAGCCCAGAAAACACACAGGAGAACTATAAAGTTTACCAAAAAAACAACAGGACAGACATGCAGTGAGTTCCATCTTACAGCAAAGGATGTCATGAGTTGGTTGAGGGCCTATGCTCCTAATGGGGAATAACAGGCAGAAGACCAGCTGAAAAACATACATGATATGAAGACTTAACAGTTCACACTCCACCAAGGGACTACCTTAGTTTAATCAGTACAACATTTTGTGTCCAAATTATATACACTGTAGGAGGAACGACCATGTGACTTGTTTTTGTTAGTGGCACTATCTAGGAGATGAGGTACCAGTATGTCTACTACCAGTATTATCACACGCAACCGTAGCTGTTGAACTGCACAGATGAGATGCCATACACGTCAAATTAGCAAGATATATCTTCAGGGCCCGAGCAACGCTGTAAGTGTTGACTGAGAAGTTCCAATTTGCACAAACAAGACATACCAGTACATATTGATTAGCAAAGGGCTCTGTATTCGTTTTTGATGTTAAAGTAGTCATGGAAGGTTACTCGAATGTTTTTTGTTGTATACAGGTCTTCCTTCTCACATGTGGGTGCAAATTGATTCATTCTGTGGCTGAAGCTCTGTAATTGTTTTAATCTGATATTTTCTAATTGTGATGGCATTTTTTGGGAAGTGATTCAGAAGGTGAATTTATTTCTACCAGCGGCAGCTGAGCAGTCGGCTGTTTTATTCTGGTTAGGTAAATCCAGGAAACATTTTATTTGCGAAGGATGTAGGTCACCTATATTTGCATCCAAAGAACTGTTTCAAACAGTACCATACTCAGCTAAGCTGCATTGAAATTTTTGCAGCTACAATCTGTATATAACTAAAAAGTCAATATTATAAAATGTATAGGACTATCACAGCAAGATGATGAAAATTAGAAATTTGAGAGCATGCGTCTTTCCTGTAGTAACATACAGGTGTTAGTCGTGGATTATCTCCCAGTTTCAAGAAAGAGAATAGGGGCTTTTAAGCTGAAATGCTATAGAAAGATTATCAGAATATCTTGGATGAAAAAGAGGAGAAATACTGACATCTTGAAAGATCTGAATATTAAGGAAGATTGGCTAATAAACAGGATCCTGTCTCGGAAGCAGGAATATTTTGGTCATATCGAGCGCCACGACAGATTGGAAATAATTATAGCAGAAGGCATGGTATCAGGAAGGAGAGGCAGGGGCCGACTGACACGAAGATGGGCACAGGATATGACTCCTTGGGTATGAAAGTGCATGAGGCGGGAGAGCTGCGAGAGACTGAATTTCTTTCAGGCAGACCGTGATGAGAGTGACGTCCTGCAAAGGACCTGCTACATGATGATGATAGGAGTAAAGGTCAAATTATCTACCATTTTGTTTTCTTTTTCTTTGAAATTTTGTTCAGCATCTATCAGAACAGAGCCTCTGAGTGAGAAACTAACCTCATAACTTTTTGAATATGTTAGGAAACTGAACAAACTTTACAATTGTATTCTCACATGTGGTTTTTCACTGGTCTTGTAGCTGCAAGACTGTGGTAAGTGAAAGTTTTGTCTTTGTAAACATAACACCTGCTGAATTCTCCCCCCACCCCCACTAATTATACTGTACTGTAAACAAAACAGATTATTAAACAAAAAAATTTTATATCAGATTCAAAATGTACAACATTCATTTCCTCTTTAACACAACTTATAAAATACTTTTATATGGATTAGAAATAGGCCTAGTTAAGTCAATTGTCAATTTTAAAAAAAATACTCTTATACCATTTACAATATATCTATATATATATATTTTTTGTCAAAGGTAAAAGTCTGTTAAAAATTCATAGGCCTGAGAGAGTTATCTGTCTAATAAAATGAAAATGAAGCAAAAAAATCCTGCAGTGATCTCATTGATAATTGCTCTCGAATTCGCAATTACAACATACGAGACTCCCTCACAAACCTTTTCTTCGCTATTTTTAGCCCTCTGATCCGTCAGTTCTCAATAGATATTCTCAGAAACCGTTGAAAGTCGTGTCTGGCCCGTGACAATTCGATTTCAACAAGAGTCAACCTTATGGTAATATGAACAAAGAAGGCACAAACAATAGATTGCACAATATATCTCAAACCCAAGGTAAATCTCGTGTTATCTCAGTCACTAAAACATTGTCTTACATTTATTAATGACGATGCAAAAAAGATGAATGGGAAGAAAAAACTACAAACCTAAAAAAACCTAAAATCAGCCACATTTACAACAATGTGAATGTAGCCGATTTTGTGTTTCAGTTTTATAGTTTCATTTTAATCAATTGTTACTGTAGTATGCACCTGGCGAAATATATATGCAAAAATAAATTCTGCAATCTTTTGTTTGTGTCTTCTTTGTTCAAATTCACAACGGGGAAACATTGCTTTGATTTACTAATGTGTACACAATTCTATATAAATCAATTAATACAGCAAATTATAGCTGCGCAAAGGCCATAGGTTTGAACCTTCATCAAGTCAGATTTTTTTTAAAATGGCCTTGGCTCCCAGTTTCAACCTAGCCTAAAATGTTCCATTAAGAACTGAGATCACAGAATACTGAGGGTACCGGTCACTAGTGGTTAAATATCCATCTTGCCTTTTCTCTGAGTGTAGTCAGTCGGCCAGACCCTCAGGTTACGCCCAGGTGCCTCATTCTTTCCATGCCATAATAATCTCTCTACTGATTTCGTTGCTTGTTCCCAAGGGGCCTTGACCACATCTGCCTTGTCACGTATCAATTCACCACCCAGTGGTGCAGACATCACCCAGTGGTGCAGATCCAGCCAATCTGCCTGCCTGTTCTTTACCCACCACGCTGGCATAACCTGGAGAAAAGATCCGTGACTTTTTCACTTAAGCTTGCCACTCTGCTCGATGCATTCCTGTCTTTGAGCATGCTTTCCGAGTCTGTTACAGTTATGACATGTGTCTTGTTAGTCCACATAAGTATCAGTACACCTTTATGTTTCATGTCTGTCTGAGAGACACTTTTTTGGGAGTCTTTATCAAATATTCTGAAATGTCTGCGCAGTCACACCTACAGATAACATACCCATTTCAACACTTGTTATCTGTGTCAAACTTGGATAAAAACTATGAATTCAAACTTTAAAATCACATGTGATGTGAGATGCCTGTGGAAAGTGGCATATTTAATAATCCCAGACCAAGTGAGAAATGATACTCTCAGACCTAGTGTGGGAACATCTTATGCTTTTAAAAACAAGAAGATCAAATGGTTTCAACTTCTCTTTGCATTGTCAGTTACCAAAACATTTACTGATTTGAGAGCGACAGAGTGCCCACAAAGATGAATTTACAACATTAAGTGACAATAGGCAGTGCTAAAGTATAGGACCACCAACTATTTGCTTTCTCAGCTCTTGATGCAAAATGATAATGACAATACGTTGCAGACTGCAGGTCTACTGCATCATCTTATCAATCAAAAGCTCTCATAACTGCACATATGAAAGTTTCTCTCTAGTCAGTTTTCCAACCCTATGTGCTTTTATAGCCAATGCATCTTCAAAGTCTTAATCTGCCTCTGCTTTATTTTCCAGAAACTATATCTTTCATCATCGTTCTCTCCAAGGCATCATGTTGTTTAATATGGCTAATGTACCTCCGTTTTTTTTTAGAACAGGATAATGTTTATGAGCCAATTCTCCCCAATAATTAAATCATGTAGGATGTAGGTCTCCTACAGATGTCATTTAAAAAAAACAAACGTTGCTAGGAAAGCCTCACTACTGTCGTACATGACAGATCACTATGCTCTACTTCAGGGCTATTAAACTAAGTTTACTCAGAGGCCAAAAATAAGGACCATCATGTGCCAGAAACCCGGGCTCCCAGCACAGAAAAGATCAATAATGCAATACAACTGGTACTGATCCACTGTCGGCTCCTTTGTTATGCTGCCACCAGTTGAATAGCCCTGCTCTACTCAGTACATTACAGCAGATGTCTAGAAATCATAATCATTTCACGGTGAGGATGTTGAGACAAAAATCCATGATAAAATCTTGAAAGCTCAGCCGTCTCTTCCACCAGGCCCGCAATCTGGGAGGATCTTCCATGGTTAGGTGTGGACAGATGCTAGTTACGTCGGTTTTCTCAGGTAAATGTTTCAGCACTGCAGGTGTCACAGTGGATGGTAAAAATATGTTTATCTGGCACTTGGATTTAGATGTACTGCAGCCAGTTTGCACCTGTCTGAGTGTCTGCAGAAATGTGTCTAATGGTGCTCCGGCTAGTTCATATACTGAAGCTTGTGTGTTGTTTGTTTGCAGGAGAAGCAGATGCCGGGGAGGTGGGTAGGTCTTGTAAAAGATGGCATGGTAGCTCTTTGACAACTGTGAAGATGAAGATAACTTTTGCTGGTAGATGGACAAAGCGGGGATCAACGCTGCCTGGTGCATGTAGCCATAGACCAGGGTCATCAGGATGTTAAATACCACCCACAGGGCAAAAAATGACAGCTTTCCTGGCATCGTTGCAGAAACTAATTTAGCTCCCATGACCACAAAGACTGGCAAGACTGGGATTAGAAAGCGTGGCTCCTGGTGAGGAAACATCGACAGACTCAATATTGGCACTAAAGCCATGAGGCTCAGCCAAGTCAGGCTGCCTTTGGTTGTCTCTCTGTCCGACTGTAGCAGCTGTGTTGCTCCAATAACACATGCTATTATAAATGGAATGTACAGTGGACCCAGAAGTAGGGGCAGGTTGACCACAAGATGGGTAAACCAAGGGTGAAGGCCATGATGGGCCAAGTTGTTTGAATCTGTATTGTACTTGATGAAATTCCATGGTGTCACCACAAGAGACGACAGAAGCTCCTGAATACCATTTTGTACAGAATTCATGGAGAAACTATCTTCAATACAAGACTTCCATGATTTGGCTGCCACTGTTGTGAAATCATGATTGAAGTACACAGTATCTAGCAGAGCAAATGTAACAAAGGTCAACAAAGCACCAGAGCTGAAGTAGAATACAATGCCAGTTAAAGGCACCCCAAACCATCGTCCGTACTGATCACGCTTAGTTGCAGAGCACACCCAATATATAACTGGTACGACTGCAAACACCAAAAATGTTGGTCGGTTGAAAAACCCTGATGTTACTATCGCTCCAAGTAAAAAGGATACAAGTTTTGAAATACATGTTCGTAAATGTGACAGTTCGGAATTGATGGCTGTTAACTTTGATTTCATGTCTGCCTTATCTTGATCTTTTCCTTCCGAGTTGGTATTTTTGTCTTCTGATTCATGCGCTGTCTTATCTTGTGTAGATTTATTTTTACATTTCACTTCAGTATCTCCTGAGACTTCTTTTGAAGCTGTTACGTTTTCTTCAGCACTTGCTTTAGCAACTTCTGTTTCTTTAGAAACTACATTGTTTGTTTTGGTCCCAGATTTCACAGACACATCAGACCGTTCCCTTTCTGCAACTTTAGCGTTCTGTTCACCATCGGTGACATCCTCAGAAAACGGCACTTCAGTTTTCTTCCGGTGACTCTCGGGTTCTCCAGACAGACACAGGACTAGTAGCAGTACTGCAGCCAGCAACACCGACTCCACTGAGTTAGAGAAGGTTCTGGTGTAATAAGGTCCAGGTTAACATAGGAGCTGCAGTACAGGATGCTACAGATGTATCTGTCAGCACAGAAACAGTCAGCCAGTCTGCCTGTTGCTAAGTAACCCAGGAAGCTCAGCAATGCCACTGGCAGTCTTGTTGCCATGACAACTTTGACAGCTGACACCTGTAGTTCAGGAATGCCTGACGAGTTGAGCGATCGCAACATGTACAGTGGCGGGGCCAGAACTAGGTATGGGAAAACAATATTTCGCACTGCAGATGTTCCGTTGAATTCCCAAGTGCGAAAATGTTGAATGTTGAAGATATCACCTGTAATGTAAACATGCATCACTGTAATAATGTACACCATGTCTGTGGTCAACATCGTATCTATGACAAACCCTTGACTCAACAGTATACATTTGTGCAATCTCCACCCCCCCCTATATAGTAAAAAGTATTAAGTGTACAGCTGTGGCAAACCCTGGGTATGTTCAATGCTACAAGTCAACTCTTTTATGTGAATAGGAGTAATGTGTTCATCTATCTCTATATCCTCTTCATGTGACTGTTGACACATAAGGCATTCACAAGTGATCACCATTGCTGCTAGGCTGCTGCTTTTCTGTCCATGGTATACTCTGTCAGTTTACATTCCTTCATTTCCCGCTCTATTGTCCTTCTCCAGTTTTTCTTAGGTCATCCACGTCTCCTTTTCCCATCTGCTGTCCACCAGAGAGCTATTTTTGCCAGAGTGTCACAAGGAATTCTGCAGACATGTCCAAGCAATCTCCGTTGTCTTACTTTGATAACATTTGCCAGTGATGCAACATTCTGTTTTCCTCCTCAGTTTTTCATCTGTGATCTTGTTTGGTCAAAACATTTGTAGAATTCTCCTTAAACATTTATTTGGAAAAGTCAAGTTTTTGTGTAATTCCTGCTGTCATTTTCCAACATTCACTGTTGTATAATAGGTACAGTCCAGTCTGGATAAGTAGAAGTCGCAGGGACCTAAGAAAATGCTCAACTTATCAGGATTTCTACTTATCCAGACAGCACACACAACAGAGAAAATTGCCAGGACTAAACTGGTCATGTCGACTTAACTGAAATTCGTCTTATCCGAGTTTGACTTAAATGGACTCAACTGTATTCATCAAATGTTGCTCTTGTATATTCTGGGCTTTGTCTTCAAACTAAATCCCTTTCACTTCCATACATTGTTAAGCATGGGGAATGCTTGATTTGCTAAGCTTGTTCTTGATATTACATCATTTTCAAAATGTCCATCTGGAGTAATGAGTTTATGGCAGACTCAAACTGTTTGCCATTGCTCTCCAGTATTTTTTTTTGGGGGGGGGGGGGGACAAATAATAGACCCACTGCCCCTCTAACAAGTTGTAAGAGTTGACTAATCACAGATGTTTCCTGAGAGGTGAGCAACTGTCTGCAAACAAGTAAGCCAGATGTGTAAAACTCAGGTTCTGGAGCAAGACCAAAGTCCTGAAGTGGACAAACAACCAGAACTTTCTACTGGAATTTATTGCTGTGAATGCACAAAAGAGAAGCCTATGCTCAACTGCTCCCTAAAATGCAGCCATCTAAACCAGCCTCCTCCACCTTATATTGTATGCTAGCTATGTTATAAAGTTCTTTCAAAGGATATCTATGCCTGGTTTTGATCCAGTCTTTGCAATTCTCCTGGTTTTCCAACATTTTTCAACAGAGATACAGACAACACAAATGTCTTTCTTAGCCTGGCAGAGATACAGACAACACAAATGTCTTTCTTAGCCTGGCAGAGATACAGACAACACAAATGTCTTCCTTAGCCTGGCAGAGATACAGACAACACAAATGTCTTCCTGAGCCTGGCAGAGATACAGACAACACAAATGTCTTCCTTAGCCTGGCAGAGATACAGACAACACAAATGTCTTCCTTAGCCTGGCAGAGATACAGACAACACAAATGTCTTTCTTAGCCTGGCAGAGATACAGACACCACAAATGTTTTATTTAGCCTGGCAGAGATACAGACAACACAAATGTCTTTCTTAGCCTGGCAGAGAGATACAGCCTGGCAGAGATACAGACAACACAAATGTCTTTCTTAGCCTGGCAGAGATACAGACAACACAAATGTCCTCCTTAGCCTGGCAGAGATACAGACAACACAAATGTCTTCCTTAGCCTGGCAGAGATGAGATACAGACAACACAAATGTCTTCCTTAGTCTGGCAGAGATGAGATACAGACAACACAAATGTCTTCCTTAGCCTGGCAGAGATACAGACAACACAAATGTCTTCCTTAGCCTGGCACAGATACAGACAACACAAATGTCTTACTTAGCCTGGCAGAGATACAGACAACACAAATGTCTTCCTTAGCCTGGCAGAGATACAGACAACACAAATAGCCTGCAGAGATACAGACAACACAATGTCTTTCTTAGCCTGGCAGAGATACAGACAACACAAATGTTTTATTTAGCCTGGCAGAGATACAGACAACACAAATGTCTTTCTTAGCCTGGCAGAGATACAGACAACACAAATGTTTTATTTAGCTTACAGACAACACTGTCTTTCTTAGCCAGAGAGATACAGACAACACAAATGTCTTTCTTAGCCTGGCAGAGATACAGACAACACAAATGTCTTCCTTAGCCTGGCAGAGATACAGACAACACAAATGTCTTTCCTTAGCCTGGCAGAGATACAGACAACACAAATGTCTTATTTAGCCTGGCAGAGATACAGACAAACACAAATGTCTTTCTTAGCCTGGCAGAGATACAGACAACACAAATGTTTTATTTAGCCTGGCAGAGATACAGACAACACAAATGTCATACAACACAAAGTCTTTCTTAGCCTGGCAGAGATACAGACAACACAAATGTTTTATTTAGCCTGGCAGAGATACAGACAACACAAATGTCTTTCTTAGCCTGGCAGAGATACAGACAACACAAATGTTTTATTTAGCCTGGCAGAGATACAGACAACACAAATGTCTTTCTTAGCCTGGCAGAGATACAGACAACACAAATGTTTTATTTAGCCTGGCAGAGATACAGACAACACAAATGTTTTTTCTTAGCCTGGCAGAGATACAGACAACACAAATGTTTTATTTAGCCTGGCAGAGATACAGACAACACAAATGTCTTTCTTAGCCTGGCAGAGATACAGACAACACAAATGTACAGGACAACACAAATTAGCCTGGCAGAGATACAGACAAACACAAATGTCTTCCTTAGCCTGGCAGAGATACAGACAACACAAATGTCCTCCTTAGCCTGGTAGAGATACAGACAACACAAATGTCTTCCTTAGCCTGGCAGAGATACAGACAACACAAATGTCTTTCTTAGCCTGGCAGAGATACAGACAACACAAATGTTTTATTTAGCCTGGCAGAGATACAGACAACACAAATGTCTTTCTTAGCCTGGCAGAGATACAGACAACACAAATGTCTTCCTTAGCCTGGCAGAGATACAGACAACACAAATGTCTTTCTTAGCCTGGCAAAGATACAGACAACACAAATGTTTTATTTAGCCTGGCAGAGATACAGACAACACAAATGTCTTTCTTAGCCTGGCAGAGATACAGACAACACAAATGTTTTATTTAGCCTGGCAGAGATACAGACAACACAAATGTCTTTCTTAGCCTGGCAGAGATACAGACAACACAAATGTTTTATTTAGCCTGGCAGAGATACAGACAACACAAATGTCTTTCTTAGCCTGGCAGAGATACAGACAACACAAATGTCTTCCTTAGCCTGGCAGAGATACAGACAACACAAATGTCTTTCTTAGCCTGGCAGAGATACAGACAACACAAATGTCCTCCTTAGCCTGGCAGAGATACAGACAACACAAATGTCTTCCTTAGCCTGGCAGAGATACAGACAACACAAATGTCTTCCTTAGCCTGGCAGAGATACAGACAACACAAATGTTTTATTTAGCCTGGCAGAGATACAGACAACACAAATGTTTTATTTAGCCTGGCAGAGATACAGACAACACAAATGTCTTCCTTAGCCTGGCAGAGATACAGACAACACAAATGTTTTATTTAGCCTGGCAAAGATACAGACAACACAAATGTTTTATTTAGCCTGGCAGAGATACAGACAACACAAATGTTTTATTTAGCCTGGCAGAGATACAGACAACACAAATGTCTTTCTTAGCCTGGCAGAGATACAGACAACACACATGTCTTCCTTAGCCTGGCAGAGATACAGACAACACAAATGTCTTCCTTAGCCTGGCAGAGATACAGACAACACAAATGTCCTCCTTAGCCTGGTAGAGATACAGACAACACAAATGTTTTATTTAGCCTGGCAGAGATACAGACAACACAAATGTCTTTCTTAGCCTGGCAGAGATACAGACAACACAAATGTTTTATTTAGCCTGGCAGAGATACAGACAACACAAATGTCTTTCTTAGCCTGGCAGAGATACAGACAACACAAATGTTTTATTTAGCCTGGCAGAGATACAGACAACACAAATGTTTTATTTAGCCTGGCAGAGATACAGACAACACAAATGTCTTCCTTAGCCTGGCAGAGATACAGACAACACAAATGTTTTATTTAGCCTGGCAGAGATACAGACAACACAAATGTTTTATTTAGCCTGGCAGAGATACAGACAACACAAATGTCTTTCTTAGCCTGGCAGAGATACAGACAACACAAATGTTTTATTTAGCCTGGCAGAGATACAGACAACACAAATGTCTTCCTTAGCCTGGCAGAGATACAGACAACACAAATGTCTTCCTTAGCCTGGCAGAGATACAGACAACACAAATGTCCTCCTTAGCCTGGCAGAGATACAGACAACACAAATGTTTTATTTAGCCTGGCAGAGATACAGACAACACAAATGTCTTTCTTAGCCTGGCAGAGATACAGACAACACAAATGTTTTATTTAGCCTGGCAGAGATACAGACAACACAAATGTCTTTCTTAGCCTGGCAGAGATACAGGCAACACAAATGTTTTATTTAGCCTGGCAGAGATACAGACAACACAAATGTCTTCCTTAGCCTGGCAGAGATACAGACAACACAAATGTCTTCCTTAGCCTGGCAGAGATACAGACAACACAAATGTCCTCCTTAGCCTGGTAGAGATACAGACAACACAAATGTCTTTCTTAGCCTGGCAGAGATACAGACAACACAAATGTTTTATTTAGCCTGGCAGAGATACAGACAACACAAATGTTTTATTTAGCCTGGCAGAGATACAGACAACACAAATGTCTTCCTTAGCCTGGCAGAGATACAGACAACACAAATGTCTTCCTTAGCCTGGCAGAGATACAGACAACACAAATGTCTTTCTTAGCCTGGCAGAGATACAGACAACACAAATGTCTTTCTTAGCCTGGCAGAGATACAGACAACACAAATGTCTTTCTTAGCCTGGCAGAGATACAGACAACACAAATGTCTTTCTTAGCCTGGCAGAGATACAGACAACACAAATGTCTTTCTTAGCCTGGCAGAGATACAGACAACACAAATGTCTTCCTTAGCCTGGCAGAGATACAGACAACACAAATGTCCTCCTTAGCCTGGCAGAGATACAGACAACACAAATGTCTTCCTTAGCCTGGCAGAGATACAGACAACACAAATGTCTTCCTTAGCCTGGCAGAGATACAGACAACACAAATGTTTTATTTAGCCTGGCAGAGATACAGACAACACAAATGTCTTCCTAAGTCTGTCAGAGATACAGACAACAAAAATGTCTTCCCTAGTCTGTCAGAGATACAGACAACAAAAATGTCTTCCTTAGTCTGACAAAGATGAAGACAAAACAAATGTCGGCTATCCTCCGAATAACGGTCACATATTATGGCGGCCCAAACCACATCCTGACAGGGCCTCAGTCTCATGTAAATTTCGAACTTCCGGCGACTTAAATTACAGACCGGCGACTATACAGCCACCGCCGAGAGTATCCCGCGCGGAGCGGGGCTAAACTAGATAGCTGGGACTCACGGGCAGCAGCTTACGCATCTTCTTCAGCTTTGCTCATGAGTCCCAGCAATCTAGTTTAGCCCCGCGCCACGGAAGATACTCTCGGCGGTGGCGGCATAGTCGCTGGAAGTCTGCAATTTACATGTGACTGAGGCTCTGTTTTCAGACGCCATAATATGTGGCCGTTATTCGGAGGATAGCCCAAATGTCTTCCTTAGTCTGGCAGAGATACATACAACACAAACACCTACTACCTGCAACAATTTCGGCTGACTGGAAGAACTCGTCTGGATGGATGTATCCTGGCTGAGGGAACAGCACTGTGATCACGTTGGCACATAACAGAACTGTTGCCAACTTGTTCATTTTCGCTGAGCACAAATCTGGTAGATGAAAACAAATCTAGGTCACACACAAAATGAAAAAACTTATGAACAAAAGTGCAATCACAACAGAGCAAAGGATCTGAGTATAGCACTAACATTGCCATATCGAGCTGGGTCGACCTGGTCTCCACAGTAAGTGTTGGCTTTCATGAATCTTGAGTACTCTCTTATCTCAATTGTATACTCTTTCAGACTGCTGTTCGTCCATCTCTTGTTGTTGTTGTTGTCCTCCCACTTGTATCATTGCTGACTTCTTGCTTTTGACTTTTCACTCAAGTGTAGCTTGTAAGTGTATTATGTCTTTTAAAGTGACTGAAATATATCACTTTTCTTTATTTAAAATTTATTTGAGCTTCTGTATTCCCCTACAATATCTGCACCTGTTGGCACAACACATCTGATTTTAGCAAATCCTTAAATACTCAGCTGTTACGATATGCTTGATAGGGTACTGATTCTATTCCCTCACCAACCTCTCCCACAGGAATGAGCTCGAATCCGCACCAATAAAACAACTTTCAGCAAATTATTTTTGCTCTGTAGTCTTCCCAGTACCTAGGCATCTAACTGTTTTTTGTCTCAATGAAAATAGAAAATAAAGTCTGTTGATAATAAGGTATGCATACCAAAACATTTGAAAGCTGAACTGATCTCAGCCAGTTCCATATGTATTGTTGTGAATCATCAGTGGATGATATGCCTCTCTGCAAATGTAAATTATCAGTACACATCTCACTGGTTACTGAGCTTGGAAATGGGAGGGACAGTTCTGCAACACAGTCTCCAGTGGAGGTGTTTCAGTTGTGGCTAAAGTCTTTACACCAACCTCATTAGGGCAAGTCCCTTTCTGGGCACAAAATACCTCATCGCCAAGAGCACTGGGACAGATGCAAGTCCTTTTCTGGGCTTAAAATACCTCATCGCGAGGAGTACTGGGACAGATGCAAATCCCTTCTGGGCCCAAAATACCTCATTGCCAGGAGTACTGGGACAGATGCAAGTCCCTTCTGGGCCCAAAATACCTCATCGCCAGGAGCACTGGGACAGATGCAAGTCCTTTTCTGGGATAAAAATACCTCATCACGAGGAGTACTGGGACAGATGCAAATCCCTTCTGGGAGTATGGGACAAAATACCTCATTGCCAGGAGTACTGGGACAGATGCAAGTCCCTTCTGGGCCCAAAATACCTCATCGCCAGGAGCACTGGGACAGATGCAAGTCCTTTTCTGGGCTAAAAATACCTCATCGCGAGGAGTACTGGGACAGATGCAAGTCCCTTTGTGGGCCCAAAATACCTCATCATCAGAATTTTAAAGGAGAGCTAAATTTTTTAAAGAAGAACTATTTAGTATACTATGTATAGCTAGTGGGCCCGACACCCCCTACATGCACCAGCGCTTAAAATAACCGTGGCTTGATCATTAATTTTCAAAGCAGTAAAACTAAAGCATGGCTTACTTACCTCCAACTTCACGATTAAGTTATTATCTTTTTTAATAAAAACACCCTGTCTCTTCAACAACTGTCAATGGTACGATGTGCAGTTTGTTAATGTACTGCTTTACTTAACTTAACTATGTCGGAAGTTGAGTTCAACGAATGAGGTTCAGTGTAGAAGAATGTGTCAGAAACATAATATCCACAATATCAGCAGCATATTCCTAGACAGATGTGCTTACTGCCATATAAACACTAGTATAGGGTAATATGTTATTGACTTGTGCAATGATCAATACTGTTAGTTTGTTTTATCTCACACATTCATTGATAGGCACCATTTTGCTAACCGTTTATATAGAAGGGACTATACTCTACAACTGTTCATTGCACAGCTATCGTGATTCTCTCCCTTTTATGGATAGTAAAGAACAATAATCTAAAAGTTACATGTACTTGTTGACGGGCCTGATCGATGAGACTTGCTCACATCTTTGATATAATACAACCCATGTGACCCTTTAACTAGCATGTCGTAATTAGCGAATAATTAGAAATTTTATGAAATCCAATGTTGTGTTGTTCCAAAGGGCACTGATATCGCAGCCTAGCTGTAAGCTCCCTGAGCGACGGTCTCACATCATTTATCTTTGTTTTAAAAAGGACGCCTTTATGCGTATTTGGCATATAGGGCTAGACCTATATTTTATAGACCAAGTGGTACCCTGTGGGTGATGTGGTCAACATCGCATTGGCCGCCTTTTTCTCCCCAGGATTTTACATGGAACCCCTGGGTCGACTGAAACCAATGTAATTTTTGAAAAAATGTCCTGTTATGTCAAGAATGACCGAGTGAACTGAACCCCTCTAGTGCTGCACACTCAGCGACTAATCCGGTGACTCTTCTTCTTTTATTAAGTCTATACCGTGTAGCGTTGGTAGTCATGTCTATTCACAACTTTTTATTTCGTGTACTTTCATTCAACTCTGACCCAGATGAGCCTCCATGCCATGATGTCAAACTGTCCAGCATCTGGTATCTCGGTCTCCCCTCTACCTTTTCTCCTTCTCCAACCCTTCTACTGGCACACATATCAGGATCCTCGACGGTGCAGCGTAGTTCCTGTACTGAATCTCAGAGCGTTGGTAAGAATATTGTGTTAAACAGTCAGACTGTCTTTCTATTCCACCAGGACATCACACAAGCGATAAACACCCGATGACACAATGTGCCACCATGTGGATTAGGATCACCGTGGAGACGTCCCAGAAACCGCGTTCAGCCATTAAACTATATTGCGGCCCCTGGCATGAGCCAGAGTAGGGCTTCAATTAACGAAAAATCGCATTCTAAAAAGGACAGCAAGATTATTATACTATATTTGTGTTAAACAGTGTTGTTTTAATGGTAATATTCACACGCCTTTTATCTGTCCAGGGTGTTTTCAAACAGCCACTATTCGGATGAGTATCCACAAGGTACAAATCCCAGACACCTCAATCTGGACGGCAACCCAACCAGGCAGATCCCAGTTACCCCCCTTTAACCACTACAGAAGAGAGATTGAAGCAAGAATCCAACAAGCCAACAATGTCGCATACCAGCTTGCCCCAATTTTAAAACACCCTGCTGTCCCAGCTGAGATAAAAAGACAAATTATAAATACAATCTTTATACCGACATTAGGTTATCAATGTCAGACTTGGACATTAACAAAAGAACATGAGAGAAGACTAACCACCTGTGAATGAGATGTTTGAGAATGGCTGCGAATAAAACCAGAAGAGATCGAGTGAGAAACGATGTGATTACAAGAACTATTGGAACCATACCCATCGTTAAATTTATTGAGAAGCAAAGAATGAAATGGTTTGGTCACCTAATGAGAATGGAACCAACGATGCCAGCATCAAGAGCATACAACATGAAAATCGAAACAACAAGAGGCAGGGGAAGACCAAGAAGAAGATGGATTGAAGGAGTCACGGACAACTTGAGACTTCATAACATCACGGAATATGAAGCGACTGAGCGCGCCCTGGCTCGGTTGCCGATCATCTGATAGACTGCGACGCCTAGCGGCACAAGCAGATTTTGACAAAAGAAGAAGAACCACTACAGAAATGATAATTGGGCCAACCGTAAGGGTTACACCAGCTAGGTTCAAGGACGATGAATGCTGTTTAAAATTCTCCACCTGGGCTCTGTAGTCTGTAGGAGTCCCACCATCGTTGTTGTCGGACGTCCTAATATAACCTGACGATTAAACGGGGTTTCTGGGACCTCTCCACTCGTGGTCCTCATCCGAATGATGTAATTTTGTGTCACCGGGTATTTATCACTCAGTGTGACGTCATGGTGGAGTAAAAAGTCAGTTTGTAGGATTAAGAGAGGATTAAACAGGTATTAGTTAGTTGGGTTATCATCAATGCACTCCGGACATGTCTATAGGTGCTTAGATCCTCCCCTCAGTATGAACCCCAACGTCCGATGGCTTATAGTACCAGTTCTATGTTGATTAACAAGTCGTCTGGTGTGCGCCTCGTTTTTTTGCTATTCCGATCTTAATTCACAAGTCTGCCAGGTATAAATCCAGGAGACCCCAATCAACCATAACGCACACGACCTTCTACAACTAACTTCACACGTGCATAACGCAGTTATATTTAGGCACCACAAAACTTACGAAGTAGCACGTAGTCCAGTGTGGGTGGCCTATCCAAATACAGTTGTAGGATTAACATCTTAAATATTAGAATCTGGCAGGTGACAATCCAGAAACCCAAAGCGTACAGGTCCTTCTGTATATAAACAGTCCGTCGAGCTTTTCTCTTTTTTTCTCAAAAGGACTTGGACTAGCGTACAGCACAGTTGCATAGGAGCACTCAACGTTCTGTAGTCCAGTGTGAGCGGGTGGGTTTGATTAATGCCGTCTTCAGTACATTGGTTTAATTTATGTAAACGGCCTAATGCCCCCCTCCCCCTCCGGATATATTGAAGGAATGCGGTCTTGATGTGATCCCAGACTTTCGTAATTTTATATAAATAACCGCTGTTTATGTCACGTGATATCTATTATTACTTCCTCGCCAAGATGGCGGTCAGCGAGAGAACCCCACTTTTGACAGGCGACAACAATGAAGAACATGATAACCCCATTGAGCCTCCGGCTTATTCTACTTCTCCAGGTAAGCAGATTGTTTCGTTATGGTCGCATCATTGTAGTCGACATGTCTATGCACAACATTTGCATATGCGAGTTAAGTATTGCAAACAAAACGACGACAAGCAGTTATAATATAATACTAATAGCAATATGCTACAGTACTCTAACACTAACACTATGAATAGCAACATTTTAACACTGCATAGTAATGAACAGCAGCATGCTAACACTACTACTACTAGACTATCCTTGTCCAGGTTGGTGGACATAGGGGTGCAACCTGGAGTAGCGAGACATGAACATTTCACCAAGGGCGCAGTTGGTACTCAACACAGAACGGTTGTGATCGGTCGTTCTACCTGGACTGCTGTGATGACAGTCCTCACTAATCATTCGGAATGATCACTTGTTTCAGTTTTATGACATTTGAAATCCCAGTTTTTAATGAATAATTTGGCTATCCTCTGAATAACGGTCCCAAATTATCAAGGACTAAAATATAGGCTCTACTGGCAAATCCGGACGAAGAATAAACAGACTTGGACGACTTAGTCAGAGTTATCTCCCGTCGCCGCACTCCGAACAGTAATCGGAAAACAAACGAAACAAACGACACACTTACCTATCATCCTGCAGTTGCGTGTAGGGCTGCGTACGGTTGCGTGAGACATCGTGGCATCATCATATGGTTGCGTGCACAGTTGCGTACGGTTGCGTGAGGCACTGTGAATGGTTGTGTAGTCATCATCATGCGGTTGTTGGATTAGAGTTAGGGGTAGGGTTAGGGGTAGGGTTAGGGGTAGGGGTAGGGTTAGGGTTAGGGGTATGGTTAGGGTTAGGGGTAGGGTTAGGGTTAGGTGTAGGGTTAGGGGTAGGGTTAGGGTTAGGGTTAGATGTGAAAATTTTGACGTAGGATTTCGAAATACTGGCCGACAATATGATGTTTGTGGGAGTGGCGCCACTGAAACTCTGCCAAATATGACGCCAATGGCGTGAGGCTGGTGCCCCCAATCGTTGGCGAATTGTGCGTGTGACCAGCATCCAGAGGCCCTCGATTGTTTGTGTGTGTGTATGGGACTGTGCGCGATTATAGGGAACTCCGGCGTCAAAATTGTCAAATCTAACGCTAATCCTAACCCTACCGCTAACCCTAATCCTAATCCTACTCCCTAACCCTAACCCCTACCCCCCTAACCACGCAAATTTATCGATCATTAAAGCATACAAATCGGCAAACACGAACAAACAAAACACACCCAAAAAAAAAAAAAACCCACCCAGAATTGTCCTGCAGCGTCGAAAAAAACCCCAGATCTGGGGGAAACAACCAAGCATTGGCAGCCCTGAAGTCGACGTGACTGTCTTCTTTGTTTCGTTGTGGCTTTTCCGATCACTGTTTGGAGTGCGGCGACGGGAGATAACTCTGACTAAGTCGTCCAAGGCTGTTTATTCTTCGTCCGGATTTGCCAGTAGAGCCAAAATATACCCTAACAGGGCCTCAGTCACATGTAAATTGCGAACCTCTTTCAGGCGACTATACCGCCACCACAGAGAGTATCTCACTCAGCGCCGAGTAGTGCTAAACTAAATGGCTGGAACTCACGAACAAATAAAATGAAGGAAGCTGCAGGAGATGCGGTAGCTGCTGCTCATGAGTCCCAGCCATCTAGTTTATCGCCGCTCTGCGCGTAGCGGTTTGGGAGATACTCTCGGCGGTGACTTTAACTCGGTGGAAGCTTTTCCGCAGTATGCTGTGTAGTCGCCCAAAAGAGGTCCACAATTCACATGTAACTGAGGCCCTGTTAGGGTATATTTTTGGCCTCGATAATTTGGGACCGTTACTCGGAGGATAGCCAATAATGTTTTCTGCTCTTTAACATACTTATAATAAACTACAATCATTGACTGAGTTATTGGTCACTCTAATGTTGACGGTCTGGCTACTGTTAATTAGCAAAGAAGTAATGGTGCCAAATTCTGCCCCCCAGCAAACATGTCGTAAGAGTCGACTAATTGGGATCTTCCTTCAAATTCGAGTACATCTGAAAGGCAAGGAACTAAGAGTTTCGATACATATAGGCCAGATCTGTGAAATGGATGTGCATGCAACACTCGGGTTTGAAAACAAATCTAAAGTCCGGAGATGGGCAAACAGCCATAAATTTCGGCTGGAGTTTCCAGCCGGGAACAAGAAGAAGAGGAAGAAAAGCAGGTGCTGAACAAGAATAAGGTGGAGACGGAGCATCAAAGTCACCCCTGGCATGAATATTCATGAGGCTACGGGGAAATGGCAAGATTAAGTTTTGTTAAAAGGCTGTGATAGGAATAGTATTTTGCAAAGAAATGGCTGCCTGATTTGACACTTACACACATTATCCAAATACATGTTCAAATATAACCTGATTTCATCTCCTAGGTACAGGTTTCAGCGATGCAGCCACCTTGACTGTTGGAACAGATGAGCTACCCCCACCGTATACCCCGACGGCCCAGGGTGATATTCCGATGATCAACTGCAAAGTGTGTCAGGCCATAATTAGTTTGGAAGGCAAACAGCACCTTTATGTGGTCAAATGCTCCGTCTGCAGTGAAGCTACGGTAAATGTTTATACGTTGTTGTGAGCTACCAATAATCATGTTCATCCTTGGCAGTCACCAGATGATTAAATATCAGTTTGACATATCTTGACCTCAAATGATATCTTATTTCTAGGGTGCCACGTTAAAAAAATTATTTTAACCACAAACTGTAAATGAGCTGGCTATAAACACACACACAAGAATTGGCAGAGACTTTCACGCATGTCACAAAGAGAGCCAAGTTCTGTAAAGCACATGCTGATTGATTGATTGTATTTGACCTATGTGTGTGTCTGAAGAAGGACAGAGAACGTGAAATGAAGGAAAGCTAATTGACATGGGATACCAAGGTTAGAAAAGCAGTAGACTGTCAGTATTGTAGGTCACTTATGAATAACATGTGTTCAGTAGGGACATGAAAAACTCATGGATCTACATAAATGTATATATATGCTAGGAAAAAAAATATTTATCATTAGAGTTGAACCCATTATGTAGTTTTACTTCAGTCACATCCATTTTCACCAGTGTGTTAACAGGGGCCATAGGGGAAACTCTCATTTTTCTTCTGCCGACCACCTCATAAATGAAATAGCTACATTTAAACATTACACATAGCAATGAATAGCAACATTTTAACATTTTGCATAGAAATGAACAGCATCATTTTAACATTTTGCATAGAAATGAACAGCAACATTTTAACATTCTGCATAGCAATGAATAGCAACATTTTAACATTCTGCATTGCAATGAATAGCAACATTTTGACATTCTGCATTGCAATGAATAGCAACATTTTGACATTCTGCATTGCAATGAATAGCAACATTTTGACATTCTGCAATGCAATGAATAGCAACATTTTAACACTATGCATAGCAATGAATAGCAAAATTTTAACATTCTGCATTGTAATGAATAGCAACATTTTAACATTATGCATAGCAATAAATACCAACATTTTTGAATACATTTTGCACATTCTGCAATGAATAGCAACATTTTAACACTATGCATAGCAATGAATAGCAAAATTTTAACATTCTGCATTGTAATGAATAGCAACATTTTAACATTATGCATAGCAATAAATACCAACATTTTAAAATTCTGCATTGCAATGAATAGCAACATTTTAACATTACACATTGCAATGAATAGCATTATTTCAACACTATGCATAGCAGTAAATAGAAACATTTTAACACTATGCATAGCAATAAATAGAAACATTTTAACACTTTGTATTGCACGGGATACATAACCTATATGGAGGAAAAAATATCAAAATAGACCTAGTCCCAACCTGTATTGTTGTGAATTTTGACAAGGATACCTCCTGTACATCCCCTCCACAGATGTAACGTTAAGTATTTTATAAATGGAGAGAGAAAGGAGTGCTCTACAACACAGGCCCCCCCACAGTGAGGGTACTTTGGTCTTATGGCAGGAAAGAAGTCTTTACACCAACATCAGTTTCATAGATGCAAGTTTTTTATCTTTAAAAAAAAAATCAGACTATCCGAATATTAATATAACAGACCTAATCCTGTCAACCCAATGGCTTTGAATAAACAAAGCCAAGCTACCATACTTTCCATTTTTGGGAAATTCCCCAATGATATCCTCAGAAAGACTGTCATTCTACACATCATCCACAAACATGACAACCATTTTATCATCCAAGACATAAACATATGCTATACAGCAGGGCTATACAACTAAGTTTACTCAAGGTTCACAATTGTGAAAATGGGGATCCTCACAGGCCAGAGTCCCAATATAGAAAGAGCTTTACTATAATATAACCGGCAATGACCCCAGACCACTTGCTAGGCCTCCGTGGGCCATATATCACCTGGCTAAACTAATTTTAGCATGACCCTTACCTGACCCTCTGACCCAGTAATCCCTGCCAGTGGGAGAAAATCGGATGTAGGAATTCTATAAAGTCATTAAAAACAGGAAGACCCCCACCCCAATGCTTTTTAGTAATTTTAGTCATCTCCTCTCACGCTGAACATTTATGCAGACTCAGATACAATGAATTCATAGCTAGACATCTCATAAATATGTCTTAGTAGCGAGTTGGGAAAGCGGCTTCTAAGGGAAATGGTACCAGTTATAACTGTTGGCTTTGTGGCTTCTCGGGGCTGAAGGTTAAGTCTAAGGCTTCTAGATGACTCAGAAACAACTAGAAGCAAGCTGACCAGTTTTGTAATCAAGAACTGATGATTTTGTTTATTCTCGGCAGCCTATTCGAGCAGCACCACCTGGGAAAAAGTACATTCGCTGCCCATGTAATCTTCTGTTGGTTTGTCGATCTGGAGCCACCAAAATTCTGTGTCCTCGGGATACATGGTAACACATTTGTATTTGTTGTTTTCTCTCTATCTGTGTGTGTGTGTCTCTCTCTCTCTCTCTTACTCAACTTTAAACCTACCAGAATATTGAAGCTAGAAGTGACTGATGCTGAATATCCGTTTCTTCTGTTTTCTCTTAAAAAGACACTTTGCAAATTGTGTTGTGGTTAACAGCTAGGCTGTGATATCAGCACCTGCAGTGAAATGTATGATATGAATGACTGTGAGGATATTAATGATATACATCCCCCGTGTGGGTTCCGGGGCCCCATTGTGGGGAAAACAAGAATAGACCCACTGCCTCCCCAAAAGCATGTCGTAAGAGTCGACTAACTGGGGAGCTTCCTTTGAAGTCGGAGTGCATCTGCCTGAGAGGCAAGGAACCAGCAGTCTGCATTCAATTGAATCAGATCTGTAAAACTGATGCACACGCAACACTCAGGTTCTGGAGCAGGCCTGCAGTCCAGAAGTGGACAAACAACCAGAACTTTACGCCAGAGTGTACAGCTGGTGAACGCGAAGAAGACGAAGAAGAAGAATGATATACATGAACCAAGGGCAGCAGAGAGAGAACCTGAAGAATGGTAAATTACCCGGATGTGATTAGATACCGGTTGAACTAATTAAAGTGGGAGGGGAAGAGAACTATCTTCATTCCTATACCAAAGAAAGGGCAACCTGAAATTATGCACCAACAATAGAACTGTTGCCCTGATCTTTCATACATGTTAAATTCTAATACAAATCATAATGGGAAGACTTAGTAAGAAAATGAAAGAAGAGATTAACGAGGTTCAAAGCTGGATTTAGACATGGAAGAGGAACAAGAGATCACATCCTCAACATTCATTTAATAATAGAGTAAAATGCATTTAATTGAACAGCTTCAGAAACTTTGGGAAATCATGAGGAATATGGGCTTTTCTTCACATGTAGTGATACCTTATAACAATGCTCTATCTAAACCAGCGGCTAGAATAGATGGCGAGACATCAGACTGGTTTGACATCAAGCAAGCAGTCCGTCAGAGCTTTGTGCTGTCACCCTATTTGTTTAACCTGTGCACCGAAAATATAATGAGAGATGTCAGAGATAATATAACTAGACAGCAGTATGATGGCCTAAATATCGGTGGTCATGAAATACCAGAGATCTGATATGCCGATGATAGTGTTGCTATCAACATCACAGACTGGTATAGAAAACTTAATAACCTTAACCCAGAGATGTAGTGAAAATCACAGCTTATATCTTAACATAGCAAAAACAAAGATAATGAGAAGATGGGAGCAGGGTGTGGTGGATGATATCCAGATGGGTGTATCAGACGTGGGACATCTTGCTTGTGATTGAGAAGTTTTCCAGAGGGTTATTATGGGAGCAAGGTTCTGCAAAGGACATAGTACTGACTGACTTATACCTAATATATGCAATATTAAATAACAAAAAAGAAATTGACAAGCATAAATATCAAAATAGAAAAAAAAACTGTATATCCAAATATAACCCAAACACCGGATTGAACAAGATGTTTTTGTTTCAATTACTACACATTCTGCTGTTTTGATATCTATGACACTGAGAATTCCTGGGTTCCTCTTTGCAGCAAAAGAGTGATCTCCCTGCCCAGCCCAACAACGGATCTGTACCACCTGCCTCTGACATCACGGTATACCTGCGCTTATTGTCACCAGGTGTTTATGGTCAGTGTTTATATCATCTTTATCTTTGTGAAACTTTATGACACTCATTCTTAATGTTCCCCTTATGGGTTACCTGCCCTGTTTAGGCGTGTGCAATTGGATGAACTCACTAACTCCCCCCCCCCCCCCTTCCGTTCCCAAGCATGTCATAGAAGTCACTAATTAGAAGTTTATTCTCGTATGGGCTCCGGCGCTTCATATTATAGAAAACAAGAAAAGACCTATGGCTTCCCTAACACGCATGTCATAGAAGTCACTGATTAGAAGTTTATCCTCGTATGGGCTCCGGCGCTTCATATTATAGAAAACAAGAAAAGACCTATGGCTTCCCTAACAAGCATGTCATAAGAGTTGACTAATTGGAGGCTTCCTTCTAAGTCAGAGTCCATCTGCCTGAGAGGCAAGAAAAGACACCAACAACCTGCATACAATGAAGCTAGATCTGTAAAACTGATGTGCAGACAAAAATCAAGTTCTAGGACAAGACCAAAGTCAAGAGGGCCAGAACTTTCCACTTACAGCCGGTGAATGCTAGGAAGAAGAAGATTTGTTAGTCATTTCTGTGTTATATCACTTTTTGTTGTTGTTACTTCATTTGTTATAACCTCTCCATTTTTTTTCTTAATCACTTTCTTTTGTTTTGTTTTGTTACTTCCTTTGTTTTAACTTTTTTCTTAAATATCACTTTCTTTTGTTTTGTTTTGTTACTTCCTTTGTTTTAACTTTTTTCTTAAATATCACTTTCTTTTGTTTTGTTTTGTTACTTCCTTTGTTATAACTTTTTTCTTAAATATCACTTTCTTTTGTTTTGTTTTGTTACTTTATTTGCTATAACCTCTCAGTTTTTTTCTTAAATATCACTTTCTTTAATTTTGTTTTGTTACTTTATTTGCTATAACCTCTCCATTTATCATTGTACTTGTATCCTGCAGCTGTTTTATGTTTCATTCACAGCTGCGGGTTGTCACCAAATTTGTTCGCTGCCCTCATTGTAGAAAATTGTAAGTATTGCCAACTGTGAATTACTCTTGACAGTTGTTATGATAGTTGTAGTACTAGCAGTAGTGATGACATTGTTAGTAGAAGCAGTAGCAATGAAAGTAGTAGTAGTAATGGTGATAGCAGTAATGCTACAATAGTACAGGTAGTAGAAACAGTAGTAGTGAAAGTATTTGTAGTAATGTAATTGTAGCTTAAGTAAGAACATTGTTTTTAGAAGCAGAAGTAGTGAAAGTATTTGCTCTAGTAATGCTTGAGGTAAGTAATGAAACTGTAGTATAAGAAGTGACATAGGAAGAATGCAGAGAATATTGTGTAGTGATAGAATAAGACAAGGCAGTCATCCTTAAGACAGAAGAAAACTAAACCGATTAAAGGAATAAGACAGAGGTAGTCAATGTTGTTTGGTCATGTTATGAGAGCTAATGGACTTGAGAACTTGGTGATGCCTGGTGAGATTAATGGAGAAAGGGCAAGCGAAACACAAAGAAATACATTCCTGGATGTTTGCTGTATGGAAGGGGTGAGAAAGAACACTGGCCTGATCCATATGTTTATCAGTATAGCACATGATGATGTTAGGAAGATGGAGACTCATTACTGACCTTCTCTGTAGAGATGGCACATAATGATGATGATAGGAGTATGTAGACAAAGTTGAAGTGGAGCCATCCCCATGTTAGTTCTGGGGACCCATTGTGATCGAACGAACAAACTTTATTTTTAAAGGGTCACAAATAAGGCACACTGACCTGTCTTACTTTAAACATTGTGGAGAAAATAAGAATAGACCCACTGCCCACCTAATAAGCATGTCATAGAAGGCAGCTGATTAGGGTTGTTTTCTTCAGAGTCAGACTGTATCTGCCTGAGAGGTAAGGAACTAACAGTCTGCATACCAAATAAGCCAGATCTGTGAAAGGGATGTGTTATCAAAACTCAAGTTGTGGAACAAGACCAAAGTCCAGAAGTGGATGAACAAACAGAATTTGCTGCTGAAGTTTACATCTGGTGAATGCTAAGAAGAAGAAGAAGGGAGCAAGCGATTGGTTGATATAGCAGCTGAACCAATAGATATCGTCATGGGTGGGCTACAGACTGTGACTCCCACAATTGGCTCAATCTGCTGATGACTGGCACCATATCAGTGGAGGAATAGGAGCAGAATAAAGGAAGAGCTGAGAGGAGCACACAGCAAAGTTGAGAAGGTTGAGGACTAAGGAGGAGTAGAAGAAGAATGGGGTGGACAAGAAAAATAATATGAAGGTGAGAAAAAGAAATGTTTTGTTTGTGTTTGTTATATTGTAAAGCTCGCTGCTGTACTTTTTCGTTCAGTTTTATATCCTTCTCTGAGAAGAAGAAGAGACTGTTAAAAAAGAATAAAGTCAAGAATGAAAGAGAGGGGGGAAGAAAAGTAGGGTATAAAGTAAAAAGTAAAACTGCCTTTATATCCCAGTGGTGCATCAGTCATATGAGGCTGGACATATTTTTTATAGACCAGTCTGCCACATTTACTTCCCAAGACTTTACCTGGGACCCATTTAAGGCTGGGGCAACCTAGGAGCCAAACTTGTGTATGAAAAAATCTGACTCCATGCGGATCTGAACTTTGGATTCACAAGCGAGGCTAGAGCTCCTTAGGTACAGTATAATCATGTAATATGTCTTTTGCAGAACACCCCTGTCATCACAAACTGCCAGAACACCCCTGTCATCACAAACTGCTAGAACACCCCTATCATCACAAACTGCCAGAACACCCCTGTCATCACAAACTGCTAGAACACCCCTGTCATCTCAAACTGCTAGAACACCCCTGTCATCTCAAACTGCCAGAACACCCCTGTCATCACAAACTGCTAGAACACCCCTGTCATCTCAAACTGCCAGAACACCCCTGTCATCACAAACTGCTAGAACACCTCTGTCATCACAAACTGCCAGAACACCCCTGTCATCTCAAACTGCCAGAACACCCCCTGTCATCACAAACTGCCAGAACACCCCTGTCATCTCAAACTATCATCACAAACTGCCATAACACATCATCACCTGTGTCATCACAAATTGCCAGAACACCCTGTCATCACAAACTGCCAGAACACCCCTATCATCACAAACTGCCAGAACACCCCTATCATCACAAACTACCAGAACACCCCTATCATCACAAACTGCCATAACACCCCTATCATCACAAACTGCCAGAACACCCCTATCATCACAAACTACCAGAATACCCCTATCATCACAAACTGCCATAACACCCCTATCATCACAAATTTGATAGAACACCCCTATCATCACAGATTGCCAGAACACCCATGTCATCACAAATTGCCAGACAGATTCTCATCAGGTGGACCACATGTTTAAAAAAAATGTTGGTTATGTCAAAAATATGATTTCACCCATGTGCTGAATACTAAATAAATGAAGCAAACATGATTTATTCAGGTCATCAGCTGGGTGTAACTATGCTCGTCTCCGCGGCCATATTTACCTGCTCGCCAGTTTGCTGATAATTGGTGCTGCCATTGGTGTCACTGTACGTACTGCCATTTTTCTTGTTTTTTCCATTTGCTTGTTAATTATGTTTCCATTAATTAACTCTTTAGATCCCAAGGAATGCATCATGTGCCAGTTTATAACTGACTTAACTGTCCTGTGGTAACGGAAGAGTTAAGGACTCATTTTTATGCCTTGCAGCATACTGGACATATGGTGCATGAGAAACACAGCCCACGGTGATAGTCAGTGCCGCAGGACCTGCCCATGGTGCCAGTGGCACATCAGGCATATAGGGCTAGACTCATTTTATAACCCTACCAACACTTTATGGGTCAGCATCACGCTGGCTGCCTTTACTTACCAGGACATTGCCATTGAATATTTAATTTATATGTAATATTATGAACAACTGGAAAGATTAATGGAAAGAGGGGTAGAGGCAGACCAAGGTAGAAGATGCTGGATAGGCTGAAGTGATGGCATGAAGGGATATTATCAAGAGAGCTGTTCTAGGCAGCCAGGGATCGTGATCTGTGGAGATGCATTAGCGCCTTTGCCAGTTGGCAGGGCACATGGTGATGATGATGAATATTATCATTGGAGCATGCATGTTTTCACATTAGATAAGTCATTATATTCACCCACATATCATTGTTGGAGTGTGCATGTTTCAACATTGGGAAAGAAGTCCTGAATTCACCCACATATCATTGTTGGAGTGTGCATGTTTCAACATTGGGAAAGAAGTCCTGAATTCACCCACATATTATTATTAGAGCGTGCATGTTTTCACATTAGATAAGTCATTATATTCACCCACATATCATTGTTGGAGTGTGCATGTTTCAACATTGGGAAAGAAGTCCTGAATTCACCCACATATCATTGTTGGAGTGTGCATGTTTCAACATTGGGAAAGAAGTCCTGAATTCACCCACATATTATTATTAGAGCGTGCATGTTTTCACATTAGATAAGTCATTATATTCACCCACATATCATTGTTGGAGTGTGCATGTTTCAACATTGGGAAAGAAGTCCCTGAATTCACCCACATATCAGTGGTTTCAACATTGGGAAAGAAGTCCTGAATTCACCCACATATTATTATTAGAGCGTGCATGTTTTCACATTAGATAAGTCATTATATTCTCCCACATATCATTGTTGGAGTGTGCATGTTTCAACATTGGGAAAGAAGTCCTGTATTCACCCACATATCATTGTTGGAGTGTGCATGTTTCAGCATTGGGAAAGAAGTCCTGTTTTCACCCACATATTATTATTGGAGCGTGCATGTTTCAACATTGGGAGAGAAGTCATTATATTCACCCACATATCATTGTTGGAGTGTGCATGTTTCAACATTGGGAAAGAAGTCCTGTATTCACCCACATATCATTGTTGGAGTGTGCATGTTTCAACATTGGGAAAGAAGTCCTGTATTCACCCACATATCATTGTTGGAGTGTGCATGTTTCAACATTGGGAAAGAAGTCCTGAATTCACCCACATATCATTATTAGAGTGTGTGTTTCAACAGTCCTTTCACCCACATATTATCATTAGAGCGTGCATGTTTTCACATTATATTCACCCACATATCATTGTTGGAGTGTGCATGTTTCAACATTGGGAAAGAAGTCCTGTATTCACCCACATATTATCATTAGAGCGTGCATGTTGTCACATTGGGAAACACATATCTAGTCATCTCCTTGGGGGATGCAATTTTTCTCTATTTTGAAGCCCCACCCTAGTTCTTGTCAGGGGCCGCAATATAGCCCGACCATAAATATGGTTCTAATGGCTGAACACGGTTTCTGGGACCTCTCCACGGTGATCCTCATTCACATGGTGGCACATTGTGTCATCAGGTGTTTATCGCTTGTGTTATGTCCTGGTGGGGTAGAAAGTCGGTCAGTCAGTCACACTGGGAATAGGTCTTTATATTCTCCCACATATTGTCATTGGAGTGTGCATGTTTCCACATTAGGAAAGAGGTCCCATATTCTCCCACACATTATCTGTGATGTGTCTCACAGAAGTCTGATCCTGTATCTGGCATGCACACTTTAAGATCCTCGCTATTGCTACAGATTATATGCACTGTGCTCAGGACATTCTTGTGTCATCTGTGGGAGGAGAAAGGAGCACTATTTGCAATGAATATCGTAGCCTAGCTGTAGACCACAACAGCGTGCAAACCTCCCTTCCAAGAGTGAACACTGAAGAAAAAGGACTACTCTTCACCAGAAACACAGCACATTCTAACCAAGAATTCCACAAGAAACGTTATAGCTTCTAATGTTGGCTGACTGTTCTCTTTTTGCAGGTGGGCACAGATTGAGGCTGCACATCAACATGGAGGCATTTACGTGGCTTGGGTCGGTATGTAATCTGTTCTGTCACTTTTTGACCTGGCTAGTATTAACTGACACAACTGGTCGCACAACTCGGACCAGAATAATGGAGAATAATTCCTCGTCTAACTGGTGTCAAGCCATCTTGTCCTTTGCCATATCATACAGCCCCTGTCCTTCCTATCTGATTCACTTGTCTCCAGTTCTCTTCTCCAAGGGATTTTGGTCCAGGGCAAGGATATTCTAGTTAAATTATTGTCTGTTTTATCAACTTGTGTCTTATCCAGAACCAGCATCTTTTCCTCACCTCTTGATTAACTGGAATTACCAAGACCCACCCAGGACAAGACATTGAAGCATCTGTCCATAGCCTGGCCTATCCTTCTTGAAATTCTGGGTCACAAACATGATTGTGCATCTAAGGTCTCAACCTATCCCTGGTTTGTTTTAAACCTAACCAAGAATCAGCAATACAAACGACGTGTAGACAAGTAAAGTTTGTAAGAATCTGCTCCCATTCTGGGGCTCCATGTGGAGGTGGGGGAAGGATAGACCCACTGCCCCCCCCCCATGTGGAAATGGGGGAGGAATAGACCACTGCCCCCCCCCCCCCATGTGGAGATGGGGGAGGGATAGACCAACTGCCCCCCCCCCATGTGGAGATGGGGGAGGGATAGACCCACTGCCCCCCCCCATGTGGAGGTGGGGGAGGGATAGACCCACTGCCCCCCCCCATGTGGAGGTGGGGGAGGGATAGACCCCACTGCCCTCCCCCTCATGTGGAGGTGGGGGAGGGATAGACCCACTGCCCCCCCCCATGTGGAGGTGGGGGAGGGATAGACCCACTGCCCCCCCCCCCCCCATGTGGAGGTAGGGGAGGGATAGACCCACTGCCCCCCCCCCATGTGGAAGGATAGACCCACTGCCACCCCCCCCCATGTGGAGGTGGGGGAGGGATAGACCCACTGCCCCCCCCCCCATGTGGAGGTGGGGGAGGGATAGACCCACTGCCTCCCCCCCCCCCATGTGGAGGTGGGGGAGTGATAGACCCACCCCCCATGTGTAGGTGGGGGAGGGAGAGACCCACTGCCCCCCCCCCATGTGGAGGTGGGGGAGTGATAGACCCACACCCCATGTGTAGGTGGGGGAGGGAGAGACCCACTGCCCCCCCCCCCATGTGGAGGTGGGGGAGTGATAGACCCACCCCCCATGTGGAGGTGGGGGAGGGATAGACCCACTGCCCCCCCCCATGTGGAGGTAGGGGAGTGATAGACCCACCCCCCATGTGTAGGTGGGGGAGGGAGAGACCCACTCCCCCCCCCCATGTGGAGGTGGGGGAGGGATAGACCCACTGCCCCCCCCCCATGTGGAGGTGGGGGAGGGATAGACCCACGGCCCCCCCCCCATGTGGAGGTGGGGGAGGGATAGACCCACTGCCCCCCCCCCCCATGTGGAGGTGGGGGAGGGATAGACCCACTGCCCCCCCCCCCCATGTGGAGGTAGGGGAGGGATAGACCCCACTGCCCCCCCCATGTGGAAGGATAGACCCACTGCCACCCCCCCCCCCATGTGGAGGTGGGGGAGGGATAGACCCACTGCCCCCCCCCCCCATGTGGAGGTGGGGGGAGGGATAGACCCACTGCCCCCCCCCATGTGGAGGTGGGGGGGAGTGATAGACCCACCCCCCATGTGTAGGTGGGGGAGAGAGAGACCCACTGCCCCCCCCCATGTGGAGGTGGGGGAGTGATAGACCCACCCCCCATGTGTAGGTGGGGGAGGGAGAGACCCACTGCCCCCCCCCCCCATGTGGAGGTGGGGGAGTGATAGACCCACCCCCCATGTGGAGGTGGGGGAGGGATAGACCCACTGGGCCCCCCCCCATGTGGAGGGGGGGGGGAGTGTGATAGACCCACCCCCCATGTGTAGGTGGGGGAGGGAGAGAGACCCACTGCCCCCCCCCCCCCATGTGGAGGTGGGGGAGTGATAGACCCAACACCCATGTGGAGGTGGGGGAGGGATAGACCCACTGCCCCCCCCCCATGTGGAGGTGGGGAAGGGATAGACCCACTGCCCCCCCCCCCATGTGGAAGGATAGACCCACTGCCACCCCCCCCCATGTGGGGGAGGGATAGACCCACTGCCCCCCCACCCCATGTGGAGGTGGGGGAGTGATAGACCCACTGCCCCAACCCCCATGTGTAGGTGGGGGAGGGAGAGACCCACTGCCCCCCCCCCCCATGTAGAGGTGGGGGAGGGATAGACCCACTGCCCCCCCCCCCCATGTGGAGGTGGGGGAGGAATAGACCCCTGCCCCCCCCCCCTATGTGAAGGTGGGGGAGGGATAGACCACTGCCCCCCTAAGAAGCAAGTCATTAAAGATGACAAATTAAACCTGTTTCCTTCAAAGTTGGAGGGAGTCAGCCTGGGAGATGAGGACCCAACAGTCTGCACACAAATGAGCTATATCTGTAAAATGGGTGTGCATGCAACACCTAGGTTCTGAAACAAGACCACAGTTTGGAAGTGGACAGACATGAAGAAGGAGAAGAAAAGTAAGAATCACTACAGTATAAGGTGACATATATGGGTTGTGTTTTTGAATGTGACTGAATCTGCATGAAACAATGTCACATGTCATCACAGTATAAGGTGACATATATGTGGTTGTGTTTTTGAATCATGAAACAATATACAGGTCACACAGAATAGGTGACATATATGGGTTGTGTTTTTGAATGTGACTGAATCTGCATGAAACAATGTCACATGTCCATCACAGTATAAGGTGACATACGTGGTTGTGTTTTGAATGTGACTGAATCTGCATGTATAAGGTGATAATTATATGTGGTTGTGTTTTTTGAATGTGACTGAATCTGCATGAAACAATGTCACATGTCATCACAGTATAAGGTGACATATATGTGGTTGTGTTTTTGAATGTGACTGAATCTGCATGAAACAATGTCACATGTCATCACAGTATAAGGTGACATATATGTGGTTGTGTTTTTGAATGTGACTGAATCTGCATGAAACAATGTCACATGTCATCACAGTATAAGGTGACATATATGTGGTTGTGTTTTTGAATGTGACTGAATCTGCATGAAACAATGTCACATGTCATCACAGTCTAATCACATGACATATAATCCAATGTTGTGTTTTTGAATGTGACTGAATCTGCATGAAACAATGTCACATGTCATCACAGTATAAGGTGACATATATGTGGTTGTGTTTTTTTTTCTGCATGAAACAATGTCACATGTCATCCACAGGTGGATTCCTGGTAGGTGTCATCCTGCTGGTGAGGGCTATCTACTACTACACAGTCAAGACTAGTCACCTGGTGCAGACAGGTGTCAACACTTAAACTGGATGGTGGCCCACTGGCTTCTGCTCAGAGCGGAGCATGAGGCCAGTCAGATCGTGAGGCAAAGGGGAAACACTGAAATCGGCAGGAAACGATAACAAATATTGTCTTGATTTTACGTAACTAGTTACACTTTGTGTGCATTCCTTTTCATAAAATTAATTAGAAAATTAGAGAATCCAATAGGTAATCAGTGATTTCAGTGGGTAATTGGAGAATCCAATGGGTAATCAGTGATTACAGTGAATAATTAGAGAATCCAATGAGTATTTAGTGATTCCAGTGGATAATTAGAGAATCCAGTGGTTAATCAGTGATTCCAGTGGATAATTAAAGAATCCAGTGGGTAATCAGTGATTCCAGTGGATAATTAAAGAATCCAGTGGGTAATCAGTGATTCCAGTGGATAATTAAAGAATCCAGTGGGTAATCGGTGATTCCAGTGGATAATTGTAGAATCCAATGGGTAATCAGTGATTACAGTGAATAATTAGAGAATCCAATGAGTATTTAGTGATTCCAGTGGATAATTAGAGAATCCAGTGGTTAATCAGTGATTCCAGTGGATAATTAAAGAATCCAGTGGGTAATCAGTGATTTCAGTAAATAATTAGAGAATCTAGTGGGTAATCAGTGTTTACAGTGGATAATTAGAGAATCCAGTAATCAGTGATAATTAGAGAATCTAATGGTTAATCAGTGATTTCAGTAAATAATTAGAGAATCTAGTGGGTAATCAGTGTTTACAGTGGATAACTAGAGAATCCAGTAGATAATTAGAGAATCTAATGGTTAATCAGTGATTCTAGTGGATAATTAGAGAATCCAATGGTTAATCAGTGATTCCAGTGGATAATTAGAGAATCCAGTGGGTAATCAGTGATTCCAGTGGATAATTAGAGAATCCAGTAGTTAATCAGTAATTCCAGTGGATAATTGGAGAATCCAATGGGGAATCAGTGATTTCAGTGGATAATTAGAGAATCCAGTGGGTAATCAGTGATTCCAGTGGATAATTAGAGAATCCAGTGGGTAATCAGTGATTCCAGTGGATAATTAGAGAATCCAGTGGGTAATCAGTGATTCCAGTGGATAATTAGAGAATCCAGTGGGTAATCAGTGATTCCAGTGGATAATTAGAGAATCAGTGGGTAATCAGTGATTCCAGTGGATAATTAGAGAAATCCCATGGGTAATCAGTGATTCCGTGGATAATTTGAGAAAAATGAGTAACCTGATTCCAGTGGATAATTAGAGAATCCAGTGGGTAATCAATGATTCCAGTGGACAGTTAGAGAATCCCATGGGTAATTACCGACACTTTTGTTTAAAATGAGTACCTGCACCATTTGTCTTTAAACAACAAGCCCTGGTTGTACCGTAGATAACCTCTAGTGTGTGTGAATGGAAAGGCTGGTACCAAGATGAGAGTTTTACAATAATTTCTAGTCATAACGAAGGAGTTGGTGCTGAGCAGACAGAAAATGTGAATGAAACAGAAGCCCATGAATTTTTCACATTTATGGCTCTATGGTGAGTGAAATCATTTAACAATGCATTACTCAACGTTTACCTGGGTACTATTGCTGTGATGGGTGGTTTAGAAAGACAGTTGTCATGGCTTTTAGACAGTGGTAAAAGAGTCCCACCATGGAAGAGATTGGTGCCCTACCATGTAAAATGTTCACAGTAGTGGTTCACTGAAGCCAGTATTCATCAAGGAGACTGCATTAATTTAAAAAGAAAATGAATACTTCACAGCCAGTTTGTAAAGATAGAAGTTCAGGTAAGGAGATAAGATGGATGGATCTTCACCTGCTATGACAGAACCCATTGTAATGTAGGCAGACAAGGATGCTCTCTTTGTGTGAGAGCAGGACACTTTTTGCAGATATACATTGGATGATAAGAGAAGAGTTTTAATAAATGATGCAGAAATGGAAAATGTCACAAGCTCCATAATAGACAGCAGTGGAGACTGCTCAACAGAAACCAACAGGAGGATATTTACAGGAATGCAAACAATAGCATAAAAATGCTATGGGATGCTATGGTTAAGCACCAGCAAAGAAGTCAAAATGAAAATTTTGAGAGAATGCATCTTCCCTGTAGCAATATATGGATATCACAGACTATCTTGCATTCATTAAGTTTGACAACAGGGGCTTTTCATTTTCAGCTGGAATGCTATATAAAGATTCTCAAAAACCACAGACCCAGAAGAAAAGAAATACTGACATCTCAACAGATCTGAACATCAAGGAACATTGTTGAGAGTGTTGTTCTGCAAAGGACCTGCTACATGATGATGTTACAAGAATTGTTTTGGCATGTTATATTTGAAAACCTGGCAACAACAGGCAAACTTGTGGGGAGGAGAGGAAGACATGAAAGACAAATATGTATGTGGCTTGGTCAAACAGAATAATCAGGATAAGAGGATAGATTATCCATGATCACTCATGCTTATTGACATAGCACATGATGATGATGACTCTCCTTGATAACACTGCTCTAAATTTCCTCCAGGGTATAATTGAATGAAAATGGCAGAAAAAAGAAAAATCCTTGACATACAAGCCTGTCACACATATACATAATGCTGAAGTTAAAAGAACAATAGCAGAGCTTTACTGTCAATGCATCCATCCTTGCAATCATACAATCCACACGCAGATTATGGGATAGCAACTTTACGAATAATTTATGTTGCCCACGCTGATGTGGTTTAAAGAAAAATGAATATTGATGTTATATTTTATTTGATCTTTCTGTGAGTTTATCAACACTGATATACACGTATTAGTTTCTCTTGTACAATAACTACATTAGTAAATGATAATGTTAATTTATATTCATGTAAATATTAGACTCGTATCAAGGTTCTGTGGACATTATGTATAACTACTATTGTCACATTTATATAAATATGAATTGTGTATAATTTATTATGTTCATATTTTGAGTTAATTATTATGATGAACATAACCTTAATAATGCCTGGTATCCTTGGTAGCTCAGATATACAATGTGTATATGTAAAATTTTCCAATTTTTGAATCACAAAATATACATTTTCTATTTGTAATTAGTGAAAAGATGTTAAGTTCTTTCAACTGTTTTAATCACAAACTATACATCTTCTATTTGCATATCTGTCAGAATTATAATGTGTTTTAACCACAAATTATGTTTTATTTGTCAGGGTGTCATTTTTGTTTTATTATTTGAAGACAAATTGTCTCTTGTCTGCATACCTGTCAGTATGTCAGCAAATATTTTTGAGCTGTAGAATAGCATACATCATGTTGTTTTACCATACACACTGACATATTTTGTATATGTTCCCTTTATGGGTTCTGGCGTCTTATTGGGGGAGGGGGGAGGGGGATAAAACCATTGCCCTGATAACAGCATGTCCTAAAAGTTGACTAATTTGGGACTTTAAAAAAAAATTAGAGTGCATCTATCAGAGAGTTGAGAAACCATCAGTCTGCATATCTGTAAAATGGATTTGCACACAAAACTTGTTCTGGAATAAGACTAAAGCCCAAAAGTGGATGAACCACAACTTTATGCCAGAGTTTACAACTGGTGAAAGCCAAGAATTAGAATAATTTGCTGAAATTGGATTGTTGGGCCAAAAGGTGCAAATATCATGGTCTAGCTGTAAACCACAACATAACGTTGCCAGATTTCATCTGAAAGAGAAGTGTATAGTAAATGGTCAGTAAGAAGTCTTGACATGTGACTTCCCAAATTTTTTTCATCCTGTAGAAAACTAGCTGAATAGTAACCAGATCTACACATACATGAGTTGTCTTCATGACTCGGTCTTTTCCAAAACATTTCTTCTTCTTCTTCTGCCTTTTATCCCCAGTGGAGCATAGGACCTAAGGCCATATTGTTCTATCCTTCTGCCTTTTATCCCTAATGGAGCATAGGACCTCAGTCAACTCAGGCTATGTTGTTCTATCCTTTGCCTTTTATCCCCAATGGAGCATATGACCTCAATCAACTCAGGCCATATTGTTCTATCCTTTGCCTTTTGCATGCAGCTCCCCCATGTCCTCCCTGTCTATTTAACTTTGCTTTCTAGCTTCCTTCTCCACGAGTCTGCCTTTATGTCTATGCCCCTGTTTGTTCCACTATCCAAAACATGTAGATTACTCACACTGGTTGGCACAAATGCAACATGGCTCATTTGCCAACAAGATGTCTGTGTTGTGTGGCTCAAAGGAATCAACAAACTGCCACGACATTTAATCATTCTTGCTGGTATCTGTGGGGTGACATTTAAACTCTGCTTCCCATTTTGGGTGACATGTCATGTACTGGCAAGTGAACATTATGGGGTGACATGTCATGTACTGGCAAGTGAACATTATGGGGTGACATGTCATGTACTGGCAAGTGAACATTATGGGGTGACATGTCATGTACTGGCAAGTGAACATTATGGGGTGACATGTCATGCACTGGCAAGTGAACATTATGGGGTGACATGTCATGTACTGGCAAGTGAACATTATGGGGTGACATGTCATGTACTGGCAAGTGAACATTATGGGGTGACATGTCATGTACTGGCAAGTGAACATTATGGGGTGACATGTCATGTACTGGCAAGTGAACATTATGGGGTGACATGTCATGTACTGGCAAGTGAACATTATGGGGTGACATGTCATGCACTGGCAAGTGAACATTATGGGGTGACATGTCATGCACTGGCAAGTGAACATTATGGGTGACATGTCATGTACTGGCAAGTGAACATTATGGGGTGACATGTCATGTACTGGCAAGTGAACATTATGGGTGACATGTCATGTACTGGCAAGTGAACATTATGGGTGACATGTCATGTACTGGCAAGTGAACATTATGGGGTGACATGTCATGTACTGACAAGTGAACATTATGGGGTGACATGTCATGTACTGACAAGTGAACATTATGGGGTGACATGTCATGCACTGGCAAGTGAACATTATGGG